GTACCACAGATGGACTCCAATCAAGTTGTAGAACATTTTCAAGGATGATCAATGGAAACAGGATGCACCTGAGCTCAATTTCGAGTCTCATAGCAAAGGGTCTGAATACTTATGTAAATAAGGTATTTCAGTTTTTTATACATTTGCCAACATTTCTAAAAACCTGTTTACGCTTTGTCATTGTGTAGATTGCTGAGTTTAAAAAACATTTTGTATCAATTTTAGAACAATGCTGTAACGTAACAAAATGTGGAAAAGGTCAAGGGGTCTGAATACTTTCCGAAGGCACTGTACTACAGGTAACTGCCAAAATCAAGGAAACACCAACATAAAGCGTCTTAGTAGGGCGTTGGGCCACCATGAGCCAGAACAGCGTCAATGCACCTTGGCATAGATTCTACAAGTGTCTGGAACTCTATTGGAGGGATGCGACGCCATTCTTCCACGAGAAATTCCATCATTTGCGTGTTTTGTTGATGGTGGTGGATAACACTGTCTCAGGCACCGCTCCAGAATCTCCCATAAGTGTTCAATAGGGAGGTGCATATGGTGGCCCCCGTGAACTTACCACAAATTCCTAATTTTGCTATGTTCTCCGTATTGTACAGTGCTCTCCATTACTATTTTTTGTATGGTCATTAGCATCGTTTACATGATCCCAATTTTTGCTTCAAGTCGCCGGCAATTAGAAAAACTGAAAAATACGTTGTGCTGATGTCGCACACCCTAGTTTAAAAACTCATTGGATAAAACAATGACGTCATATCTGAATTCTGCCATCTTTATGCACGTTCGCCGCCCAGCATTTTTATACATGACCCTAAGCATGATGGGATGTTAATTGCTTAATTAACTCAGTAACCACACCTGTGTGGAAACAGCTTTCAATACATTTTGTATACCTCATTTAATAATATGTAATATGCCATTTAGCAGACGCTTTTATCCAAAGCGACTTACAGTCGTGTGTGCATACATTTTTACGTATGGGTGGTCCCGGGGATCGAACCCACTACCCTGGCGTTACAAGCACCATGCTTTACCAATTGAGCTACAGAGGACCACATGTTTCCTTTATTTTGGTAGTTACCTGTACATGTACATCAATGGTTCCCAACTCAAGTCCTCCAGTACCTCCAACAGCACACATTTTTGTTGTAGCCCCAGACAAACACTCTTGATTCAACTCATCAAAGGCTTGATGATTAGTTGACAAGTTGAATCAGGTGTGCTTGTCCGGGGCTACAATGATAATGTGTACTGTTGGTGGGGAACTGGAAGACTAGAGTTGGGAACCACTGCTGAACAGTATGGTAATAAATGGTTCTGCTCCTTCTGACTTACAGAATAATCATATTTCTTTAGTCTTTACAAATCTGATTTCTACGTAACACACAGTAATGTCCTCATCATCTACATTTATGTACAGCTACAGCCCTTTAACACAGTAGGACCATTCTGCTATGCCATTGACTAGATTGTGCCACTAAGAACGAAGACAGACACAGATGACGTTTGTTTGTTCTTTCTGACTTTCATCGTCTCTATTTATTTGCACTTATCACTTTATCAAGGGTAAACAGAACCCACAGAGAGAAACACAGGAACCACAGGAGGTTGGTGGCACCTTAATTGGGGAGGACGGGCTCCTGGTAATGGTTGTAGTGGAATCACTGGAATGGTATCAAACACATGGTTTCCAGGTGTTTGATGCCATTCCATTTGCTCCGTTCCAGCCATTATTATGAGCCGTCCTCCCCTCAGCAGCCTCCACTGACAGAAACGGTTTACACTTTTAGTAGTAATACTTTTACAGCAGACAAGCAAACACATACAGTAGTTGTATCCAAATTGTATCACAGCCTCACGTACAACGGTTTCAACAATACTCATCCACTATATAGAGAGAGGTTAGCGTTTTAACATTCCCTTAAGATAGACAAGATTTCAGTCAGCTAGGGAGCATATAGGGGTTATCTCTCTCGCTCACACACACAACCTCAGTGTACATACATAGTACACAGCCACAGCTCCTGCCATTGGTATAGTCACCAGAGAAAGCAGAGCCTACAGTGGACAGACAGTCTCTTTCGTTCTGCCCTGGTCAGTGGTCAGTCAGTGCTCACGTTAGTCCACAACTCAGGTGGGGCCGTTTCACAGAGGAAAGGTTTGACAACAGACGAGGCTGGTCCTCCTATAGCTCCTCCCACCAGCCTCCTCTGGTTGACAACGTCAGTATGCAGGAGATAAAACAGTGAAATTGTTGTATCAGATGAAATAGATGTGCCACCAAATGTATTGTTTTACACAGATGAGGGGGCCTACATTAGGATCTCACAAGCTTGATAGTGGTCCAATACACTCAAGTATAGTCATGTATTATGGAATGATGTGCCTCCATGTGTTGCAAGATAAAGTCAGTCTTGTAGTCCGTCCACTAGTTCTCCCAGTCAGTGCATGCAGGAAATATATGCTTCAAACTAACGTAAACATAAAAGCCCTCATCAGTGACATGTTGCCTTTGATCAAACAGAATTTAACTTCAAATATTTGTCATGATTTAAAAGTAAACGCTTTAGAGCAGGGCTGCTCAACCCTATTCCTGGAGATCTACTGACCTTTAGGTTTTCAGTCCAACCCTAATTTAGCATATCTGATTCAGCTAGTTAAGGTGTTGTTGAGCAGCTAATAAGTAGAATCAGGTGTGTTAAATTATGGTTGGACTGAAAACCCACAGGATGGTAGATCTCCAGGAAGAGGGTTGGGCAGCACTGCTTTAGAGGGATACAGCAAAGGATGAATAGGGCAATACGCCACCTGCATGTTAATAAACATTACCCACAATACAATTAAAGATTCCCCTTTGGGAGGGATTAAAAAAGACAAAGAAACAATTAAAGTTTCCTCATTATATCACAGTGTGACTGAAGCATCTGAAATTAGTCAATAAATGAACATAATCCAAAGTAAAACTACACGTAACAATGATGAAGATTTAGCAGCAGCAGTTTAGTTCTTAGATAAGTACAGTGATATTGGATTATTTCTCTGATATGGATAATATCCTTTACACACTGGTTCCTATGAGACTGTAGACACTACATTTAGGGTTAAAGTGCCTTGCTCAAGGTCAGATTTTTCACCTAGTCGGCTCGGGGAGTCAAACCAGCAACCTTTCGGTTACTATCCCAACGGTCTTAGCTGCTAGGCTACCTGCTGCCCACTAGCTAGTGACTGTAAAGATGAGAGTGAGTACTGTATGTTTAAATCTGGAATCCGTAGTGGTCAAACTGCCACGTCCGTTTGCGATATTACAACAACAAAGAAGTTACTTCAAACTACCAACACTGTTTTTTTCCCCGTCGGACATGATTGCACACTTCATGGAACAGCAGAGTATGTACTGCACATTTATTTTTTACCAAGATGCTGGATGCTCTTCTCCTCTTTTCATAAACAAAACAAAAACAATAACAAATGCGCCTGGGGCAACCGGTGGCGCTGTTACATCTAATGTGGATTCCAGCTTTAAGACTGGTAATAAGACTGCAGCTGAGTTTACTCTCTGTGTTATAGCTACAGACATATTGCACCTTTCTGAGACTGGGGGCAAGAAAACACAAGAACCAACCACCGTAGGTAGTAAAGGTGGCAGTGCCACAACAAATATCCTCCCCACCTTCACCTACTAACTGTATGTCAAGGTGGGTCTCTTGGTTGTTGTCAGAAAGTAAACATGTTACCCTTGGCTTGCCAATTGTCTTGTTGTCTCCTAGAACTCTCCTATGGAGTCCTGTGGAAGCACATTGATCTAAATGAGTAATTCAAATAACATTGATAACAGTAGTTTGTCCATGAAGAGCGACAACTCAGGTGTAAACTCTGTGAGATAGCAGTATATTGAATTCTTTGACATGGTATGTCTGAGATCAATGTGGTGTATAGACCTTACAGTCAGTGGTACAGTGCCTAATTGAATAGGCCATCCACTCCCAACACTGGCTTCAGATCTGTACTTCAAAGTCACACAGGTGACTGACAGGAACACTGTGTTAATGCCACTGTGTGTAAAACATTGTCATCGTCTTGACAGGTGACTGACAGGAACACTGTGTTAATGCCACTGTGTGTAAAACATTGTCATCGTCTTGACAGGTGACTGACAGGAACACTGTGTTAATGCCACTGTGTGTAAAACATTGTCATCGTCTTGACAGGTGACTGACAGGAACACTGTGTTAATGCCACTGTGTGTAAAACATTGTCATCGTCTTGACAGGTGACTGACAGGAACACTGTGTTAATGCCACTGTGTGTAAAACATTGTCACCGTCTTGCTCTTTACATAGCACCTGGCTAACCACACTGTGACCACAGGTATGTCATTATCATGGCTAACCACACCGTGACCACAGGTATGTCATTATCATGGCTAACCACACTGTGACCACAGGTATGTAATTATCATGGCTAACCACACTGTGACCACAGGTATGTCATTATCACCTGTGTCTGGTGTATTAGGTGGACAGTATCACTCTCTGGTGATGTCTCCATAGACAGCTGGATGACTCTGCATTGCTTGGTTCAGTACTCTTTGCTTGGTTCAGTACTCTTTGCTTGGTTCAGTACTCTTTGCTTGGTTCAGGACTCTTTGCTTGGTTCAGGACTCTTTGCTTGGTTCAGGACTCTTTGCTTGGTTCAGGACTCTTTGCTTGGTTCAGGACTCTTTGCTTGGTTCAGGACTCTTTGCTTGGTTCAGGACTAGGACATGTAGGACAGGGTTGAACAATTATTGATGGACAGTTGGACAGTGCTGCCACCAGATACATAGGAAGGTGGGTAGGCAGGTATCTTTCTGTTAGTCTGGCTATTGAAGTCTCTATGGAGTAGAGTCCACAGGACAGTGACAAGAAGAGAAGGATGGGGGTGTCACAGATCCGATGGGGGCTTGATTATTGATCACAGGGGGTCAGCAGGAACTCTGTCTCTCTCTCAGCTCAGTAGAGTGCTTTTTGTCCTTGGCTGTCAAATTCTGACCAGGCGTCATTCAGTTCCATAAAAATCATCTTTGCATATTGTTCATAGGGCTGTCCAGTGGCCTGGGAGAGGGGAGAAGGAGGACAACTTCAATCATTGTCACTGTACATTCACATTGTAATTTACTGCACAGGTGAAATGTGTGTATTGTACAGTACCTTACTATATCCTATCTGGTATTACATTTTTACATTTTAGTCATTTAGCAGACGCTCTTATCCAGAGCGACTTACAGTTAGTGAGTGCATACATTTTCATACTGTGTGTGTGTGTGTGTGTGTGTGTGTGTGTGTGTGTAGAAGCGTCATGCCCATAGGGGGCACAGGGGCACTTTCCCCCCATAGATTTGTCCTGTTTATTTTTTTGTTTTTTCTCTGTAATACTACTAGCCACATACCAATGTTATGAAGTTGGCTTTAGTTAGCCCAGATAGGTTCCCAATCTCCCAACCTCATAACTAGCTACCAAGAAGCCATTTCAGGCTATCAATCAAGTTAGACAGTCTATACAGTTGAAGTCGTTAAAACTTGTTTTTCAACCACTCCACACATTTCTTGTTAACAAACTATAGTTTTGGCAAGTCGGTTAGGACACCTACTAAATGACACAAGTCATTTTTCCAACAATTGTTTACAGACAGATTATTTCACTTATAATTCACTGTATCACAATTCCAGTGGGTCAGAAGTTTACATACACTAAGTTGACTGTGCCTTTAAACAGCTTGGAAAAGCTTCTGATAGGCTAATTGACATCATTTGAGTCAATTGGAGGTGTACCTGTGGATGTATTTCAAGGCCTACCTTCAAACTCAGTGCCTCTTTGCTTGACATAATGGGAAAATCTAAAGAAATCAGCCAAGACCTCATAAAAACAATTGTAGACTTCCACAAGTCTGGTTCATCCTTGGGAGCAATTTCCAAACACCTGAAGGTATCACGTTTATCTGTACAAACAATAGTACGCAAGTAAAAACACTATGGGACCACGCAGCGGTCATACCACTCAGGAAGGAGACGAGTTCTGTCTCCTAGAGATGAACGTACTTTGGTGCGAAAAGTGCAAATCAATCCCAGAACAACAGCAAAGGACCTTGTGAAGATGCTGGAGGGAACAGGTACAAAAGTATCTATATCCACAGTAAAATGAGTCCTATATCGACATAACCTGAAAGGCCGCTCAGCGAGGAAGAAGCCACTGCTCCAAAACCGCCATAAAAAAGCCAGACTACGGTTTGCAACTGCACATGGGGACAAAGATCGTACCTTTTGGAGAAATGTCCTCTGGTCTGATGAAACAAAAATAGAACTGTTTGGCCATAATGACCATCGTTATGTTTGGAGGAAAAAGGGGGTACTTTGCAAGCCGAAGAACACCATCTCAACCGTGAAGCACAGGGGTGGCAGCATCATGCTGTGGGGGTGCTTTGCTGCAGGAGGGACTGGTGCACTTCACAAAATAGATGGCATCATGAGGAAGGAAAATGATGTGGATGGACAACGACCCCAAGCATACTTCCAAAGTTGTGGCAAAATGGCTTAAGGACAACAAAGTCAAGGTATTGGAGTGGCCATCACAAAGCCCTGACCTCAATCTTATAGAACATTTGTGGGAAGAACTGAAAAAGCGTGTGCGAGCAAGGAGGCCTGCAAACCTGACTTAGTTACACCAGCTCTGCCAGGAGGAATGGGCCAAAATCCACCCAACTTATTGTGGGAAGCTTGTGGAAGGCTACCCGAAACGTTTGACCCAAGTTAAACAATTTAAAGGCAATGCTACCAAATACTAATTGAGTGTATGTAAACTTCTGACCCACTGGGAATGTGATTAAAGAAATAAAAGCTGAAATAAATCATTTTCTCTACTATTATTCTGACATTTCACATTCTTAAAATAAAGTGGTGATCCTAACTGACCTAAGACAGGGAATTTTTACTAGGATTAAATGTCAGGAATTGTGAAAAACTGAGTTTAAATGTATTTGGCTAAGGTGTATGTAAACTTCCGACTTCAAATGTATATAAAAGTGGGAAAATATGTTTTATTTCAATGTTTTTATATCGCTAGCAACAACAGACTAAACAAATGTTGAACTACATTAAACAAAAATATAAACACAACATGCAACAATTTCAAAGATTTTTCTGAGTTACAGTTCATATAAGGAAATCAGCCAATAGAAATCAATTCATTAGGCCCTAATCTATGGATTTCATATGACTGGGAATACAGATGTGCATCTGTTGGTCACAGATACCTTTAAAAAAAGGTAGGGGCGTGGATCAGAAAACCAGTCAGTATCACGTCGATCCAGAGCATCCCAATGCTCAATGGGTGACATGTCTGGTGAGTATGCAGAACTGGGACATTTTCAGCTTCCAGGAATTGTGTACAGATCCTTGCGACATGAGGCCGTGCATTATCATGCTGAAACATGAGGTGATGGCGGGGGATAAATGGCAAGACAATGGGCCGTTTTCCGTAGCTTTTGCCTGCCCATACCATAACCCCACCGCCACCATGGGGCACTCTGTTCACAACGTTGACATCAGCAAACCGCTCGTCCACACGACGCCATACACGCCGTCTGCCATCTGCCCGGTACAGTTGAAACCAGGATTCTTCCGTGAAGAGAACACTTCTCCAGTATGCCAGTGGCCATCGAAGGTGAGCATTTTCCCACTGAAGTCAGTTACAGCGCCGAACTGCAGTCAGGTCAAGACCCTGGTGAGGACGACGAGCAAGCAGATGAGCTTCTCTGAGACGGTTTCTGACAGTTTATGCAGAAATTCTATGGTTGTGCAACCACAGTCCCACCCCAACCCAGGAGGAGCCAATGCCCAAGTCTCATCTCCCAGTGCTACAGGTGTCGCCGTAGTTCCTCCAGGGTACCTGCACCGGGAACCCAAGATCCCAGCCCCCGAGCAGTATGACGGCCACCTGGGAGGATGCAAGATGTTCCTCACTCAGTGCTCTCTGGTGTTCGAGCTACAGTCCTCCTCGTTCCACACCGATTGAGCCATGATCGCCTAAATCATCTCTCTACTCTCGGGCAAGGCCCTGGCGTGGGCAACGGCGGTGTGGGAACAGCAGCCACCACCCTGCAGCTCCATATTAGCCTTCACTGCCGAGCTGCGATGAGTCTTCGACCACCCAGTCGGCGGACGAGAAGCGGCCAGCCGACTGTTCAACATCCACCAAGGGGCCAGACCAGTCGCCGCCGAGAGTGGGTGGAATACGGAGGCACTGGTCACCGCTTTCCACCAGGGTCTGTCTACCTCCATCAAGGATGAACTGGCCTCTCGGGAACTGGGAGAGGACCTCAAGTCCCTGATAATGCTGGCAATCAGGATTGACAACCGCCTCCGAGAACATGTGAGACAGCACCTTTTTGACACCACCCCAGTATCCCGGTTTCCTGAGTACACCAAGCAGCTGGGACGCCGAGCCCAGCATTGAGGAGCCCATGCAGCTGGGACGCACACGTCTGAGCCCACGGGAACGTGACAGTCTGACCTCTGCTGCTGCCTCTACTGCGGAGGTCTCGGCCATCTCCGTGCTACATGCCCAGAGCTGACGGGAGACACCAGTGCTCGCCAGGACAAGGGAAGACCCTGACGGGCTGTGCAGTTTCACCCCGGCTACCCAGTCACCGTTTCTCACTACCCGCAACCCTCCACTGGGACAACCGTCAGCACAAGATTCAAGCCTTCGTGGACTCTGGGGCCACGGATCATTTCATTGATCAAGACTTCGCCAGAGAATTACAAATCTCCTGCGTGAAATGTCCCATCCCTCTGCAAATGTAAGCCCTAAATGTCGAAGACCCCCACCAAGAGCCTCGCCGCATCCCCCTGCATCTATTGAAGACCAAGACCTCTCCGCTCTCCCTACCGAATACTTCGACCTCCGGGAGGCCTTCAGTAAGAAGCAAGCCGCCACCCTCCCTCCTCATCGTCCATACGACTGCACCATAGAACTCCTACCCGGCTCCACCCCTCCCCGAGGCTGTCTTTACTCCCTCTCGACCCCTGAAGCAGCAGTCATGGACAATTACATCCGGGAGTCGCTGGAGACAAGTTTAATTCTCTCCTCAACATCCCCAGCTGGTGCAGGCTTCTTCTTCGTGGGAAAGAAGGATGGAGGTCTGCGTCCCTGCATCGATTACCAAGGGCTGAACAGGATTACGATTAAGAATCGTTACCCCCTACCCCTGATGTCCGCAGCCTTGGAGCTGGCTCAAGGGGCCCAATTCTTCACCAAACTGGACCTCCGCAACGCTTACAATCTGGTGAGAATCAGGGAGGGAGTTGAATGGAAAACTGCCTTTAACACCCCTAGTGGCCACTATGAGTATTTGGTCATGCCATTCGGATTATCGAACTCGCCGGCATTCTTCCAAGCATTGGGCAATGACACTCTTAGGGATTTGTTGAATCAGTTAGTCTTTGTTTACCTCTACGACATCCTGATCTTCTCCAAGACCCTTCCGGAAAACAAGTCCTGAGACACCTCCTGCAGAGTCAACTATATGTCAAGATAGAGAAGTGTGAGTTCCATGTATCCCAAGTCTCTTTCCTGGGCCACATTATCTCTACCGCCGGCATCCAAATGGACCCCGTTAAGGTTAAGGAGGTCACCGACTGGCCCCGACGCCTCACTCAAACAGGTCCAGCGGTTCCTCGGGTTTGCCAATTTTTACAGGCGTTTTATACGCAACTTTGGTGCGGTGGCAGCGCCTCTCGGCCTTAACCCGCAAGTCCCAGACCTGTTTTGGCTGGACCCCCGAGGCTGACAGGGCATTCATGGAGCTCAAGGGATGTTTCACTTCCGGACCAATCCTCGTTCATACTGATTCTACTCGTCCCTTCGTGGTAGAGGTGAACACCTCGGACACCAGAGCAGGGGCAGTCCTTTCACAGCGGAACGAGGGGGACAAGAGACTGCACCCACAATTATCGTATAATAATTGCCATAGTCGTCTTAATACATACATTTTAGGAGAAGGGGGGATTCAACTTTATATTAAAGTAGATTTAGTTTACCCAATAGCAGTTTTTAATTTTTACATGAAGTGGGTAAAGTTGGTAATCATTTTACGAGCAGAACGGCACGGTTGGGAGGAGAAGCTTAATTTCCAAAAGTTCTAAGCAGTCATAACCATTTGTTTTTGAGACAAGGGTGTCACCAAAGCTGTGTTGTATTTATTGGGTATATTGTAGCTAATTTTCTAAGATGTTATGATGCATTACAAGCTCAATTTTGTTTTAACAAAAATAACAATTATGAAAATAACTGTGATCATTTGCATGACAATCAATCAATACCCTAAATTCCATAATCATCAAAGCCCTAGTTTGGAGTTACCATTCTAGCTAATAGGCTATGTTAGAGTTTACACTTCTTCCAATTATGTGGGGAGGTCAAAATAATGAAAAACCATCTACCAAATCTTTTCATTTTAAAATGTTGATGACTTGTCCTTGCCATTATCATTCATCATGCTAACATATGATGGGGGTCCCTGGGTCGCCAGTTTGCCTGGGCGGGCGTCCCTGGGTAAGAAAAGGTTTTAGACCCCTTTAGAAAAGCCAGAAATAACTAAATGTACTGAATAAGACACACATTCCTTTCAATCTCTTACCTAGATTTTAGCAGAAATGCAGAGAAGCATATTTAGTTTCTTTTAAAAAAGAACCACCAGTCAGGAGGATACAGACAGCTCAAGAGGTATGCTTAGATATGCAGACAAATAGACACAAAATATATATAGTGAGTATTGCTCTACACTCTTAGAAAAAAAGGTTATATCTAGAACCTAAAATGGTTATTCGGCTGTCCCCAGAGGAGTACCCTTTGAAGAACCCTTTTTGGTTCCAGGTAGAACCCTTTTGGGTTCCATGAAGAACCCTTTCCACAAGGGTTCTACATGGAACCCAAAAGGCTTCTAACTGAACCAAAAACGGTTCTACCTGGAACCCAAAAGGGTTCTCCTATGGGGACAGGCAAATAATCCTTTTGGAACCCTTTTTTCTAAGAGTGTAGATTGTATGAAAAAGCTATTTCAGGTGTTTGAAAAATGCTAAATTATTCAACTTTACGTCCTAGCCCCCCACCTGACCATACCCCAGCCATCCTCACGTACTTTGTGCACCCTCAGATTTTTGGGGTGCATGACGCCCCTGTGTGTGTGTGTGTGTGTCTGTGTGTGTGCGTGTGCGCGTGCATGAGTGTGTGTGTGTGTACGTGTGTACCTGCTGATTTTGTACGTTTGCCCACTGACAAAGACATGATCAGTCTATAATTTTAATGGTAGGTTTATTTGAACAGTGAGAGACAGAATAACAACAAAAAAATCCAGAAAAACGCATTGATTTGCATTTTAATGAGGGAAATAAGTATTTGACCCCTCTGCAAAACATGACTTAGTACTTGGTGGCAAAACCCTTGTTGGCAATCACAGAGGTCAGACGTTTCTTGTAGTTGGCCACCAGGTTTGCACACAACTCAGGAGGGATTTTGTCCCACTCCTCTTTGCAGATCTTCTCCAAGTCATTAAGGTTTCGAGGCTGACGTTTGTCAACTCGAACCTTCAGCTCCCTCCACAGATTTTCTATAGGATTAAGGTCTGGAGACTGGCTAGGCCACTCCAGGACCTTAATGTGCTTCTTCTTGAGCCACTCCTTTGTTGCCTTGGCCGTGTGTTTTGGGTCATTGTCATGCTGGAATACCCATCCACGACCCATTTTCAATGCCCTGGCTGAGGGAAGGAGGTTCTCACCCAAGATTTGATGGTACATGGCCCCGTCCATTGTCCCTTTGATGCGGTGAAGTTGTCCTGTCCCCTTAGCAGAAAAACACCCCCAAAGCATAATGTTTCCACCTCCATGTTTGACGGTGGGGATGGTGTTCTTGGGGTCATAGGCAGCATTCCTCCTCCTCCAAACACGGCGAGTTGAGTTGATGCCAAAGAGCTTGATTTTGGTCTCATCTGACCACAACACTTTCACCCAGTTCTCCTCTGAATCATTCAGATGTTCATTGGCAAACTTCAGACGGGCCTGTATATGTGCATTCTTGAGCAGGGGGACCTTGCGGGCGCTGCAGGATTTCAGTCCTTCACGGTGTAGTGTGTTACCAATTGTTTTTTTGGTGACTATGGTCCCAGCTGCCTTGAGATCATTGACAAGATCATCCCGTGTAGTTCTGGGCTGATTCCTCACCGTTCTCATGATCATTGCAACTCCACGAGGTGAGATCTTGCATGGAGCCCCAGGCCGAGGGAGATTGACAGTTATTTTGTGTTTCTTCCATTTGCGAATAATCGCACCAACTGTTGTCACCTTCTCACCATGGTCTTGTAGCCCATTCCAGCCTTGTGTAGGTCTACAATCTTGTCCCTGACATCCTTGGAGAGCTCTTTGGTCTTGGCCATGGTGGAGAGTTTGGAATCTGATTGATTGATTGCTTCTGTTGACAGGTGTCTTTTATACAGGTAACAAGCTGAGATTAGGAGCACTCCCTTTAAGAGTGTGCTCCTAATTCCATCTCCTTACCTGTATAAAAGACACCTGGGAGCCAGAAATCTTTCTGATTGAGAGGGGGTCAAATACTTATTTCCCTCATTAAAATGCAAATCAATTTATAACATTTTTGACATGCGGTTTTCTGGATTTTGTTGTTGTTATTCTGTCTCTCACTGTTCAAATAAACCTACCATTAAAATTATAGACTGATCATGTCTTTGTCAGTGGGCAAACGTACAAAATCAGCAGGGGATCAAATACTTTTTTCCCTCACTGTACGTGTGCATGTGTTACACTGTGTGTAGTGTTAACCTCTTCCTTCCCTTTCACCTTGTCTGGATGGACCACCAGCACAGCTTTACGGTAGACCTTCTTGACCTGCTCTGGGGTCACCAGGTCAGCCATGCCTACAGGCTTCCAGCGGGTCTCCCCCTCCCACAGCACTGTGTGCATGGTGGACAGCAGGGCCCGGATGTTACGCTCCTTCCCCTCGATCCAGTCCAGAATCTGAAGGTAGAGGGGGGAGAGTCTGGGCCAGATACAACACAGATCTCACAGGCCTTCTTCAAAATCTTGACATAGCTAGCTTGTTTTTCTTTGGCTGTCAAAAGACACTCCAACATTGGACCCTCCTCCCCCCTGTAGTTCTATCTTCACTACACTCTCCAACTCTTGGTCCAAGGCTAGTGATTGCCACTGTAAAACTACCTTGAGTTTCTCGGGGTCCATCTCTTTAGACATCTCCTCCTTCCTCATCTCTGCTATTGTCCTGGGACCTTCCTTTTTCTTGGCTCCAGCAAAGCCTTGGCCAGACAGCAGGTCATCAAAGTTAGCCGTTGCAACTTTGGGCTTGGTACCTGGGAGAGAGAAAGTAACATCTTCTCTCATCCACTTATAATACAGTATATATGCAATCGTATCATGAATGACTACCTGCACAGATCACATACTTTTTTAAATAGTTTTTTTATTTAACCTTTATTTAGGTAAGTCAGTTAAGAACTAATTATTATTTACAATGACGGCCTACACCGGCCAAACCCGGACGACGCTGGGCCAATTGTGCGCCGCCCTATGGGACTCCCAATCACGGCCGGTTGTGATACAGCCTGGAAACAAACCAGGGGGTCTGTAGTGACGCCTCAAGCACTGAGATGCAGTGCCTTAGACCGCTGCGCCACTCGGGAGCCCAATACATGCAGGTCAGTTTCAGGTGGCACATTTGTACATTAATACAGAGCAACAGGAGTCATTTTCGGGCGAACACAACCCAACAGTCTACCCATCCCAGTGTGATAACAACCAGCCTCCCAGTCTCACACTGACTCACCCATGTTGGGCTGTTGTTTCCCGGCTGCATTGGGAGCAGGTCCTCCTCCCATGGCAGAGAAGCTGATGTTGTAGTTGGGTCTGTTGGAGGGGGAGGTGTGGGGCATGGAGTGGCTGGGGCTGGGCTTGGCCTGGGGGGGTGGACCACCCTGACTCTGGGGTTGGGGCTGCCACCCAGCCTGCCCTACACCTCCACCACCACCACCACCACCGGGCTTCCAGGAGGGGAAGCCTGTGTTGGCCTGCCAGCCCCCACCGTGCTGGGGCGAGGGAGGAGGCCGTGAGGGGGAGCCCATGGGGGGGAAGGCAGGGGTGGTGCCTGTAGGGGTGGTGGGCTTACTGGAGAACCCAGAGCCTCCTATAGACAGAGATGTAAGGGGTAGTGTAACACAACTATCATAACATAACGTAGCATGACATGACATTATATGACATAACCAGAGGAGGCTGGTGGGAGGAGCTATAGGAGGGCGGGCTCATTGTAATGGCTGGAATGGAATAAATGAAACTGTATCAAACACATCAAACATATGGAAACCATGTTTTAATCCGTTCCTTTGATTCCATTCCAGCCATTGCAATAAGCCCATCTTCCTATAGCTCTTCCCAACAGCCTCCCATGGACATAACATATTTAAAGTATCCGTTAGTACAGTACTTAAAACCTTCACTGACCTCCCAGACTTCCCCCCAGGTTTCCGATGTCAGCAAAGGGGTCCAGAGTGTTGGGTTTGGCCTGGTGTGTGGGAGTGTTGTTGACCGACCCAGTAGGACTTGTACTGGCTGACTTGCTGCCCATACTGAAACCACCTCCTCACACAGAACACACAATAACACAGCTGAAATACTATGCAATACTTTATTTTATTTAGCCTTTATTTTACCAGGCAGGTCAATTAAGAACAAATTCATATTTCCAAAGAAGTCGGCACTGTAGTCCTATAAATGTGGTTCTCATAAGCACCAGCAGAGGTCCCTATTTAGTCCATTCTGATATTACACACGCTTGCTTACTCATGGCAGCACAGTACGCTGGATGATGGCATGCCATAGCTCTCTGTTGTTCATGGCAGCTGGTTGTTCCTCTGTTCTCAGACCACTGTCTCTGCAGATATTGTCCATGAATATTACACATGAGTAGAGCTTACCTGGAGCTGCAGGTTTGTTCCAATCCCATCCTCCCACGGCGTTGGGAGGCTGCTGAATGGTGACTACAGGTGTGGTGGGCGGGACTGGGGAGCTGCGGCCTATCAGAACACAGAAACAGCAGTGACAGACCTCACAGACAATGGGAGGAAGGAGATATGAAGTCATTAAAATTATGACCACATTATCACCAATGACCATAGCGTTGGAGACTATCTGACTTGAGCCCCTTTTAATCTGTTTATAATTGTATAATTAGCCTAGCAGTAGTAATTATCACAAATCATTCTTAAACTCAGAGACAGGCCCCCTTTGTACTTTCCCTCTGCCTAAATACAACGTACATAGATCATGTTCGATGTGCATTGTATTTGGGCAGAGGGAAAGTACAAAGGGGGCCTGTCTCTGGGTGTAAGAATGATTCCGTAAGGGTTGAATAGGAGCCATGTGTCTGGGTTAGAGCTGATAGACCATAATTACTGTTCTATAACACTGTCTAATATCTTTACTGTTTTATATCATTATATTCTCTTAGTATGAATATACCGTTTTTTTATATATATTCTTAGAGATTGAAAGTAATGTTAGGTTTAAGCTCTTTGTGTATAAAATGTGTAATTACAGTATTTAGTGGACTGCAGTGGACTGTAGGAATGTGTACTCCCAATAACTCAAGGCCTCGCCTGACTGATATGAAGTCCTGTGAAAGGAACGGAGGAGCACGAAGGTTCTGGACTCATGCTGGGCCACTATAACTCCAATAGGAGGAACTTACTGATTGTACACTCCGCCTAATTGGAAGGTATAAATATATGCTTGTGCGAATTGTATCGGTGCTTTTGCAGCTGCAATGCCCAGTGTGGTGAAAACATTTTAGCTTATTTTGTTGTCTGACTGGATTGTACCAGAACGTACAGCCTAACACTAGCATACCATGACCGTTAAGCTAACCAAATAAGGTCAGAACCATGCCAATAGCAATAACTGTAACCATAAAATAGCCATTCCATTCAGATCTCCCTCAAAACTTGCAGCTTTAATTCCCATTGATCATCACTCATTGTGTGCATGCATATACAGATGCCGTATCTTAATTTGACATCCTGTTGTAGTAGGAATGTTCCTGCATTGCAGGAAATGCAAACTTGTATTGTATTCTAGGTTTAAAAAGGCTTCTAAAGTTTTTCATTTCCACTTAAAAATGTCAGATTTGATTTGCCCTAACAAACATTTCCATTAATTCACATTTCCTACCCAACACAACAACATGGCTGAAGCAAAATCTGGACCCCTACAAATCAGCTGGGCTAGACAATCTGGACCCTTTCTTTCTAAAATTAGCCGCCCTGTTACTAGCCTGTTCAACCTCTCTTTCGTATCATCTGAGATCCCCAGAGATTGGAAAGCTGCCGTGGTCATCCCCCTCTTCAAAGGGGGTGACACTCTAGATCCAAACTGTTACAGACCTATATCCATCCTGCCCTGCCTTTCGAAAGTTTTTGAAAGCCAAGTTAACAAACAGATCACCGACCATTTCGAATCCCACCGTACCTTGTTCGCTATGCAATCTTGTTTCCGAGCTCGTCATGGGTGCACCTCAGCCACGTTCAAGGTCCTAAACGATATTATAACCGCGATCGATAAAAGACAGTACTGTGCAGCCGTCTTCATCGACCTGGCCAAGGCTTTCGACTCTGTCAATCACCGCATTCTTATTGGCAGACTAAATAGCCTTGGTTTCTCAAATGACTGTATCGCCTGGTTCACCAACTACTTCTCAGATAAAGTTCAATGTGTCAAATCAGAGGGCCTGTTGTCTGGACCTCTGACAGTCTCTATTGGGGTGCCACAGGGTTCAATTCTCGGGCCGACTCTATTCTCTGTGTACATCAATGATGTCGCTCTTGCTGCTGGTGACTCTCAGATCCACCTCTACGCAGACGACACTATTTTGTATACATCTGGCCCTTCATTGGACACTGTGTTAACAAACCTCCAAACGAGCTTCAATGCCATACAACACTCCTTCCGTAGCCTCCAACTGCTCTTAAACGCTAGTAAAACTAAATGCATGCTCTTCAATCGAACGCTGCTTGCACCCGCCCGCCCGACTAGAATCACTACTCTCGGGAGGTCTGACTTAGAATATCTGGACAACTACAAATACCTAGGTGTCTGGTTAGACCGTAAACTCTCCTTCCAGCATCTCCAATCCAAAGTTAAATCTAGAATCGGCTTCCTATTTTGCAACAAAGCCTCCTTCACTCATGCTGCCAAACATGCCCTCGTAAAACTGACTATCCTACCGATCCTTGACTTTGGCGATGTCATTTACAAAATAGCCTACAACACTCAAATTGGATATAGTCTATCACAGTGCCATCCGTTTTGTCACCAAAGCCCCATATACTACCCAGCATTGTGACCTGTACGCTCTCGTTGGCTGGCCCTCACTACAGTGAGGGAAAAAAGTATTTGATCCCCTGCTGATTTTATACGTTTGCCCACTGACAAAGAAATGACCAGTCTATCATTTTAATGGTAGGTTTATTTGAACAGTGAGAGACAGAATAACAACAAAAAAATATGTCAAAAATGTTATAAATTGATTTGCATTTTAATGAGGGAAATAAGTATTTGACCCCCTCTCAATCAGAAAGATTTCTGGCTCCCAGGTGTCTTTTATACAGGTAAGGAGATGGAATTAGGAGCACACTCTTAAAGGGAGTGCTCCTAATCTCAGTTTGTTACCTGTATAAAAGACACCTGTCCACAGAAGCAATCAATCAATCAGATTCCAAACTCTCCACCATGGCCAAGACCAAAGAGCTCTCCAAGGATGTCAGGGACAAGATTGTAGACCTACACAAGGCTGGAATGGGCTACAAGACCATCGCCCAAGCAGCTTGGTGAGAAGGTGACAACAGTTGGTGCGATTATTCGCAAATGGAAGAAACACAAAAGAACTGTCAATCTCCCTCGGCCTGGGGCTCCATGCAAGATCTCACCTTGTGGAGTTGCAATGATCATGAGAATGGTGAGGAATCAGCCCAGAACTACACGGGATGATCTTGTCAATGATCTCAAGGCAGCTGGGACCATAGTCACCAAGAAAACAATTGGTAACACACTACGCCGTGAAGGACTGAAATCCTGCAGAGCCCACAAGGTCCCCCTGCTCAAGAAAGCACATATACACGCCTGTCTGAAGTTTGCCAATGAACATCTGAATGATTCAGAGGAGAACTGGGTGAAAGTGTTGTGGTCAGATGAGACCAAAATTGAGCTCTTTGGCATCAACTCAACTCGCCGTGTTTGGAGGAGGAGGAATGCTGCCTATGACCCCAAGAACACCACCCCCACCGTCAAACATGGAGGTGGAAACATTATGCTTTGGGGGTGTTTTTCTGCTAAGGGGACAGGACAACTTCACCGCATCAAAGGGACGATGGACGGGGCCATGTACCGTCAAATCTTGGGTGAGAACCTCCTTCCCTCAGCCAGGGCATTGAAAATGGATCGTGATTGGGTATTCCAGCATGACAATGACCCAAAACACACGGCCAACGCAACAAAGGAGTGGCTCAAGAAGAAGTACATTAAGGTCCTGGAGTGGCCTAGCCAGTCTCCAGACCTTAATCCCATAGAAAATCTGTGGAGGGAGCTGAAGGTTCGAGTTGCCAAACGTCAGCCTCGAAACCTTCATGACTTGGAGAAGATCTGCAAAGAGGAGTGGGACAAAATCCCTCCTGAGATGTGTGCAAACCTGGTGGCCAACTACAAGAAACGTCTGACCTCTGTGATTGCCAACAAGGGTTTTGCCACCAAGTACTAAGTCATGTTTTGCAGAGGGGTCAAATACTTATTTCCCTCAATAAAATGCAAATCAATTTATAACACTTTTGACATGTGTTTTTCTGGATTTTCTGTTGTTGTTATTCTGTCTCTCACTGTTCAAATAAACCTACCATTAAAATTATAGACTGATCATTTCTTTGTCAATGTGCAAATGTAAAAAATCAGCAGGGGATCAAATATTATTTTCCACTTGTATCCTGTTTCAGTAATAATGAGATCAGACCTTCTTCTTGAGTGTCAGATAATCTACCATTTACATAGGAGTGGTTAAAACATGCAAATAACGGTCCTCTTAGTATATCAAAAAAGGTTTGGTATACCTCGACTGGAATGCCATCCAACCCTGGAGTTTTCCCGGACATAAAGTCTTTAATTGCATCCAGAAGTTCCTCCTCTGTAATTTCACCTTCACATGAGTCTTTCGGTGTGGCTGTTAATTTGACAGCCACACCAATTTGCTTTATTTTTATAATATATTACACTTGATCTTTCTTGAATAAGTTTCTCCATTTCTTTTTGTTTTTCCTCTAATTTATTCTGAGCCTCTATGTTACAGTTTTTATTGCCATCTATCTGTTCTGTTAGACTTTCTATTTCCTTTCTTAGTATAAACTCTTTTGACCTAAATTGCTTTTGTTTTCGAGATGAGTACTGAATTGCATGGCCTCTAAAGGCACATTTAAAGGTGTCCCATACAATAAGGGGATTCGCTGTACCTATGTTATGTTGGAAAAAGTCAGTTATAAATTCCTTTGTTCTAATTATAAATAAATTATCATCCAATAGGCTTTGATTAAATTTCCAATATCCTCGCCCACGTGGAAATTCAGTAAGAGTAATGTATATGCCTATTATATGATGGTCCGACCGCATTCTGTCCACTATCAACATTTTTTAAAACTTTTGGTGCCAACGAGAATGAGATAAGAAAGAAGTCAAGACGACTAGCTTGATTCAGTCTCCGCCATGTATATCTCACTAGATCAGGATATTTAAGCCTCCATATATCTACTAGTTCTAATGTATCCATGACATTCACAATTTCCTTAAGAGCATGTGGGTGATTGTTTGTGGTGTGATTTCCTTTACGGTCCATTGAGCTATTTAAAACAGTATTATAATCCCCCACCATAATAATATTGTCTTGAATTGCTTGCAGGGTTGATAATTTATTATATATATTGTCAAAGAATTGTGGATCATCATTATTTGGTCCGTAAAGGTTAATGAGCCATATCTGTTTATGGTCCAATAACATATTTAAAATAATCCATCTACCTTGCGTATCTATTTGGACAATTTGCACATTCAGATCGAAATTACTATTAATTAATATCATCACCCCTTTTGAATTTCTTTGCCCATCGGAGAAGTATATTCCCCCCCCCCCCATTCTTTTTTCCACGCTACTTCATCTCGAATTGTTGAATGAGTTTCCTGTATACAATAGATATTATATATTCCTTCTCTTTGAGCCATGTAAATATTGTTCTTCTTTTGTTATTATCAGCTAAGCCATTACAATTATAACTGGCTATACTTATTTCACCATACACCATCCCCATATTGTTATTTACATTGTTATTTATTTTGCTCATTTGCACCCCAGTATCTCTATTTGCACATCATCTTCTGCACATCTATCACTCCAGTGTTAATACTACATTGTAATTATTTTGCACTATGGCCTATTTATTGCCTTACCTCCATAACTTACTACATTTGCACATACTGTATATAGATTTTCTATTGTGTTATTGACTGTACGTTTTGTTTATCCCGTGTGTAACTCTGTGATGTTGTTGTTTTTATCGCACTGCTTTGCTTTATCTTGGCCAGGTCGCAGTTGTAAATGAGAACTTGTTTTCAACTGGCTTACCTGGTTAAATAAAGGTGAAATAAATAAAATAAAAAAAGCAGCAGACTAGTATCAGTGTAAAGATAGCAGTCGGATAGTGGATAGAGTGAAACGTTAGTGCATAGATATCAGTGTAAAGATAGTGGATAGAGTGAAACGTTAGCAGATAGATATCAGTGTAAAGATAGTGGATAGAGTGAAACGTTAGTGCATAGATATCAGTGTAAAGATAGTGGATAGAGTGAAACGTTAGCAGATAGATATCAGTGTAAAGATAGTGGATAGAGTGAAACGTTAGCAGATAGATATCAGTGTAAAGATAGTGGATAGAGTGAAACATTAGCAGATAGATATCAGTGTAAAGATAGTGGATAGAGTGAAACGTTAGCAGATAGATATCAGTGTAAAGATAGTGGATAGAGTGAAACGTTAGCAGATAGATATCAGTGTAAAGATAGAGGATAGAGTGAAACGTTAGCAGATAGATATCAGTGTAAAGATGGTGGATAGAGTGAAACGTTAGCAGATAGATATCAGTGTAAAGATAGAGGATAGAGTGAAACGTTAGCAGATAGATATCAGTGTAAAGATAGTGGATAGAGTGAAACGTTAGCAGATAGATATCAGTGTAAAGATAGTGGATAGAGTGAAACGTTAGCAGATAGATATCAGTGTAAAGATAGTGGATAGAGTGAAACGTTAGCAGATAGATATCAGTGTAAAGATAGATATCAGTGTAAAGATAGATATCAGTCATATAGTGGATAGTGTAAAGAGTGAGACGTTAGTGGATAGACAGTGCCTCTACAGATGAAGTCTGGTCATGCCTTACCCATGCCAGTGTTCTGCATGGTGGGGGATGGCGAGTGAGCGGCATGCAGGAGGGGGCCAGGCTGCCCCGGGTTACCAAGATTACCTGCTGGTCCCAGGAAGGACCCCATCAGCTCCTGGGGCTTGGGCATTGGACTCGCCCCAAACGGGTCCAACACTGGGTGGATAGAGAGAAAAGCATAAACCATTCCTGTCCTATTAAATTCAATACATTTTATTAATCTCCGACAGGCAATTATTTCTGGCAGGCATAGGATATGGATAGATTAACATACTATGTACACATCTGTGGTTAAATGACTTTGTAAAAAACAGACAAATAAACCTGAATTGAGTTGATCAGTAACTACGGATATACAGTATGGTGTTAGAGTATCCATTGACTATGTACCTGGAGACGGGCAGGGGGAGGTGGAGTGAGGGGCTATTTTCTGTGGGGTGGACTGGGCCGAGTTGTGCCCACTCCTTGGCTGGGGGGAGGCCCCAAACAGATCCCCCAGGAGGTCCGTGGTGGTGTTGGTGGTGGGGGGCTGGGGCGAGGGGCAGGGGGGGTTCACTGCCACCCCATCCAGGCCCAGGAGGTCCACCTCTTCTGGGGGAGGAGGAGGAGCAGAGGGGGGGGCCTGGGGCTGCTCGGGTCTCTTGGGGTCCCTGGTGCCAGCCTGAGCCCCTCCAGGTCTCTCTCCTCTAGCGTGGCTCTGCTGGCTGGACAGGGACAGCATCTCGTCATCAGACGGCTCGCTGTCCTCCCCGTGAGGACGACCGTCCGGACCGCCATGGGACCGGCTTGGCTCTAAAATTGGTCAGAGGTCAGGGGGGGGGTAGAGGTAGGTCACATTAGGAAAACTTGGTCTTGATTTAGTAAATGGGTTTGCGTCCCACAAAATATTCTACAGGAGAACAGGAGATACTTTGCTAAAGTTATAGGTACAGGTATCTGTATTGCTAGCCACCACAGCAGTATGACAAAGCTAATCTAACACATACGTACCGTACATCACCCAGGGGAAACTGCCTCTAACAATGTACTGGCTTCCTCTAACTACAGCAGCTAGTATCTTTACTGGTCTGTGGTATCCTCTACTCTACACCTTACCCTCCAAGTCCAGTCCCTCCATATCATCTTGGGAGGAGAGAATGAGACCAACGTTAGGGTAAGAACAGCAGCTCTCATTAGTGGTGACCATATCAGTATCTGTGTGTGTTTAGCTGTCTGTGTGCATAGTTTCTATGTGTGTGCCTCGGTCCATCTGAGCCTGGGAGCGTATGGACCTCTGTGTGACCTCTGTGTGACCTCTGTGTGGACCTCTGTGTGGACCTCTGTGTGACCTCTGTGTGGACCTCTGTGTGACCTCTGTGTGGACCTCTGTGTGACCTCTGTGTGGACCTCTGTGTGACCTCTGTGTGGACCTCTGTGTGACCTCTGTGTGGACCTCTGTGTGACCTCTGTGTGGACCTCTGTGTGACCTCTGTGTGGACCTCTGTGTGACCTCTGTGTGGACCTCTGTGTGACCTCTGTGTGGACCTCTGTGTGACCTCTGTGTGGACCTCTGTGTGACCTCTGTGTGGACCTCTGTGTGACCTCTGTGTGGACCTCTGTGTGACCTCTGTGTGGACCTCTGTGTGACCTCTGTGTGGACCGCTGTGTGACCTCTGTGTGGACCTCTGTGTGACCTCTGTGTGACCTCTGTGTGGACCTCTGTGTGACCTCTGTGTGGACCTCTGTGTGACCTCTGTGTGGACCTCTGTGTGACCTCTGTGTGGACCTCTGTGTGACCTCTGTGTGGACCTCTGTGTGACCTCTGTGTGGACCTCTGTGTGACCTCTGTGTGGACCTCTGTGTGACCTCTGTGTGGACCTCTGTGTGACCTCTGTGTGGACCTCTGTGTGACCTCTGTGTGGACCTCTGTGTGACCTCTGTATGGACCTCTGTGTGACCTCTGTGTGGACCGCTGTGTGACCTCTGTGTGGACCTCTGTGTGGACCTCTGTGTGGACCTCTGTGTGGATCTCTGTGTGGATCTCTGTGTGGATCTCTGTGTGACCTCTGTGTGGACCTCTGTGTGACCTCTGTGTGGATCTCTGTGTGGATCTCTGTGTGACCTCTGTGTGGACCTCTGTGTGGATCTCTGTGTGACCTCTGTGTGGACCTCTGTGTGGATCTCTGTGTGGACCTCTGTGTGGATCTCTGTGTGGATCTCTGTGTGGATCTCTGTGTGACCTCTGTGTGGACCTCTGTGTGACCTCTGTGTGGATCTCTGTGTGGATCTCTGTGTGACCTCTGTGTGGACCTCTGTGTGGATCTCTGTGTGGACCTCTGTGTGGACCTCTGTGTGACCTCTGTGTGGATCTCTGTGTGGATCTCTGTGTGACCTCTGTGTGGATCTCTGTGTGACCTCTGTGTGGACCTCTGTGTGGATCTCTGTGTGGACCTCTGTTTGGACCTCTGTGTGGATCTCTGTGTGACCTCTGTGTGGACCTCTGTGTGGATCTCTGTGTGGACCTCTGTATTGACCTCTGTGTGGATCTCTGTGTGACCTCTGTGTGGACCTCTGTGTGGATCTCTGTGTGGACCTCTGTATGGACCTCTGTGTGGATCTCAGTGTGGACCTCTGTGTGGATCTCTGTGTGACCTCTGTGTGACTTCTGTGTGGACCTCTGTGTGACCTCTGTGTGACCTCTGTGTGGACCTCTGTGTGACCTCTGTGTGACCCAGTGGCGGCTCCTGAAAAAATTCTCAGGGGGGGCAATTTTTCTGATGATTTAGGTGACCTACACACATTTTAAAAAAGATATGTCCAGCAACAACATGAAGACAGGGGCAGCATATAAGTCAATACCAGAAGCATTTATTGACTGATCTCAAAAGTGTTGGCTTACCAGGGTTGGTGGAGCCCTCAGTTTCATCTTTGCCTCGCAAAGCTAACTCAAACACTCCGCAAAACTTCACACACTGGATTAGCCGGCTGAGGATGTGGCGGTTCTTGCTAATGTCGTAGTAAATATATTTGTTATAGTGAATATGGAATATGATATGTTGAGTAAAATGTTGTGCTAAGATCTATTTAGGTCAGGAGCTGGTTATAAGTTCTGTTCCTATCCAATAACAATGGACAAAAGGGTCCTATCTTGTCAGCCTTGTCAGCAGGTGGCCAAGGACAACACCCACGCCATAGGCCTCTCAGTTCTTCCAACTCACGAGTTCTTGCTCTGAGGACACACACACACACACACACAAACACACACACACACACATCATCACTGTTAAACACACACACACACACACACACACATCATCACTGTTAAACACACACACACACACACACACACACACAAAAATCCCCTCTCTTAGGCTGAACATTTGAAGACAGAGAACCCGACTCAGAGCCAATGCAACAGTGACAGTAGCCTGGAGGGGACCTCGCCCAACTCATCAGGACCAATCAGAAGATCAGAACTACTAGATTCAACCTACTTCATTTATTGCATAAAATGTCTGCACACAATGTTTCGGAGCTCTCTTCAGATAATAATAATAATAATAATAATAATAATATGCCATTTAGCAGACGCTTTTATCCAAAGCGACTTACAGTCATGCGTGCATACATTTTTGTGTATGGGTGGTCCCGGGGATCGAACCCACTACCTTGGCGTTACAAGCGCCGTGCTCTACCAGCTGAGCTACAGAAAGTGGATACTCATGGATGCGCATCGCAATTGTAAAATGTCAACACAATTGGAGACACCACGTCATTTTTGGAGACATGTTATTGACAGTAAACTATTGTAGATGCGACTGCTAACTAAATAAAACATTTTAGCTGGCTAGCTAATCATCTTAGCTAAATGTGGGGCAAACAATTCAGTTATTTACCGTTAATTTGAGGGATTGGGGTGAAAGAAATCGAGTTACATAGTGATACTTTACGATATACTGTATTGACAATATCGCAATATTTTAGCACTAGTTGGCTGTACCTGCACCAAAACACCATTATTGTTCCTTCATAGCTTGTTCTCAATCTTTTCACATTGGGAGCCAATTTGTTTTCAGCACTTTTATTTCCATGACTGATCAAAACTCGTTCTCATGGCTTTCTGATCCCTCTGCAACAGACATATGGTGCGCAATAAAATCACAGTATCGAATCGCAATACGTATAGAATCATGAGACTCGCAATGCATATATCTTATCGTGAGGTTCCTGGCAATTCCCAGCCCAAGTTCACTTGCCACAACAAATCTCTTCGCTAGCAAACGCGATGTCTTCTCCAAAACGGCAATGTGTCTCCAGCAATGTTTACTTTTTTGACGTTCTATGGCATCTCCACTTTCCAAGCATATATGACCACATGTAATATTTTGGTAAGTGATGCAAATAGTGAACTATGTAGGGCCAGGATGTAAAATATATGTAGCTGCAGCAATTTCTCTTATCTGATATGGTAAGTAATGGGGCTTAATGTATAGCTCCCTAAGAGTTTGACGAACGGGTCCGTGCACGCGATTCCAGATATCTTTACCTCTGAATAAACTGCCTTTATTATACCATATCCACCCTGTCCAAAGTCTCTACTTGGTCTCAGTTCTCCAGTAAACTTGTGATTATCAACACTAACCTCATCGTTGTGGCGGCGGACAGCTAGCCTGTATCCCTCATCCAGTTGAGTGGCAATGTTCTTTTTTCGTTAGTACCAATTTTTGGAAAATCCTCGGGTGTAGGACTTTCCGCCTTTAGTAGAAACCTGTTGAATTATTAAATTTGGTCTGGGAGGTCCTAATTGTTTCGTTGCCAATTTATCTTGATTTGTTCGCCGACAAAAAGGAACTTCTTTCAAAGAGACAATCGAGTTGCACTGCCATTTTGACAGTAATAGTGAATTGATTGATGAGGCTACCCGCTCTTTTCTTAGTTACGTTCATGGTTATGTTACGTATGACGAAAGCGCGTAAGTGCAAGCCCTCAGACACCCATAGAGATTGTATTGAAAGCTCTGATATTTGAAAAAAATAGATTTTACATGGGAGTCTATGACAGACTTCTGGGCGATTTTCAACCTGACTGAAATCGCCCCAAAAGGGGGGGTGGCCATTTGAAGCACGACTTTAGCCTGATTGGACATTTAGTGGCAGTGTGGCACTGTGGCAGATCAGACGTCTAGATTACAACACTGATAACTACTGTTGCCGTGATATAATTGATTAGAAAAAAATCCCTTCCTTTTCCCGTTTGGCAGTGCGTCGCCCATATCGCCCTATTGAACACACCGCCCCTGGTGTGACCTCAGTGTGGACCTCTGTGTGGACCTCTGTGTGACCTCTGTGTGACCTCTGTGTAAGTGCATGTCTCTGTGCTTCTGTTCCAACATGTGCGTGCCCATCTGTGTCCGTTTGTATGCGTATGCGTGCATGTGTGTATGCGTGTGTGTATATGTGTGTACATCTTTGCCTGTGTGTGTGTGTGTGTGTGTTTGTGTATGTGTGTCCATCTGTCCTGTATGCCTCTGACTGTGTGCTTGCATGTAGACCTCCTCTCTGCCCTACCTGCGATGGCGAGTGCGTCCTGGTGTTCCTGGTGACAGGAGAACAGTACATTGGGGATGAGGTCTTTATTAGGGAACTGTTCCCAGGGAGGGGTCAGGTCCTTCTGTTTGTCAGTACTCTCCACCTCGATGTCCACCAACACATGGAACAACTGAGGGTACTTCTCTGGAGAGTCACACGCATCCAGCTCCGGCCTAGACAGGTGTGTGTGTCAGATGGTTAGTTAGTTAGTTCATTGTCCATATCATGACGTACACCAACATTTAAACATTATATAGTATTTCACATTTACAGTGGGGAAAAAAAGTATTTAGTCAGCCACCAATTGTGCAAGTTCTCCCACTTAAAAAGATGAGAGAGGCCTGTAATTTTCATCATAGGTACACGTCAACTATGACAGACAAATTGAGAATTTCCTTTCCAGAAAATCACATTGTAGGATTTTTAATGAATTTATTTGCAAATTATGGTGGAAAATAAGTATTTGGTCACCTACAAACAAGTAAGATTTCTGGCTCTCACAGACCTGTAACTTCTTCTTTAAGAGGCTCCTCTGTCCTCCACTCGTTACCTGTATTAATGGCACCTGTTTGAACTTGTTATCAGTATAAAAGACACCTGTCCACAACCTCAAACAGTCACACTCCAAACTCCACTATGGCCAAGACCAAAGAGCTGTCAAAGGACACCAGAAACAAAATTGTAGACCTGCACCAGGCTGGGAAGACTGAATCTGCAATAGGTAAGCAGCTTGGTTTATATAATATAATATAATATGCCATTTAGCAGACGCTTTTATCCAAAGCGACTGGTTTGAAGAAATCAACTGTGGGAGCAATTATTAGGAAATGGAAGACATACAAGACCACTGATAATCTCCCTCGATCTGGGGCTCCACGCAAGATCTCACCCCGTGGGGTCAAAATGATCACAAGAACGGTGAGCAAAAATCCCAGAACCACACGGGGGGACCTAGTGAATGACCTGCAGAGAGCTGGGACCAAAGTAACAAAGCCTACCATCAGTAACACACTACGCCACCAGGGACTCAAATCCTGCAGTGCAAGACGCGTCCCCCTGCTTAAGCCAGTACATGTCCAGGCCCGTCTGAAGTTTGATAGAGTGCATTTGGATGATCCAGAAGAGGATTGGGAGAATGTCATATGGTCAGATGAAACCAAAATAGAACTTTTTGGTAAAAACTCAACTCGTCGTGTTTGGAGGACAAAGAATGCTGAGTTGCATCCAAAGAACACCATACCTACTCTGAAGCATGGGGGTGGAAACATCATGCTTTGGGACTGTTTTTCTGCAAAGGGACCAGGACGACTGATCCATGTAAAGGAAAGAATGAATGGGGCCATTTATTGTGAGATTTTGAGTGAAAACCTCCTTCCATCAGCAAGGGCATTGAAGATGAAACGTGGCTGGGTCTTTCAGCATGACAATGATCCCAAACACACCACCCGGGCAACGAAGGAGTGGCTTCGTAAGAAGCATTTCAAGGTCCTGGAGTGGCCTAGCCAGTCTCCAGATCTCAACCCCATAGAAAATCTTTGGAGGGAGTTGAAAGTCCGTGTTGCCCAGCGACAGCCCCAAAACATCACTGCTCTAGAGGAGATCTGCATGGAGGAATGGGCCAAAATACCAGCAACAGTGTGTGAAAACCTTGTGAAGACTTACAGAAAACGTTTGACCTGTGTCATTGCCAACAAAGGGTATATAACAAAGTATTGAGAAACTTTTGTTATTGACCAAATACTTATTTTCCACCATAATTTGCAAATAAATTCATAAAAAATCCTACAATGTGATTTTCTGGATTTTTTTTCTCTAATTTTGTCTGTCATAGTTGACGTGTACCTATGATGAAAATTACAGGCCTCTCTCATCTTTTTAAGTGGGAGAACTTGCACAATTGGTGGCTGACTAAATACTTTTTTTCGCCACTGTACGTGTTAATTCTATACATATGTACTGTACAGATAATATATATGAGAGAGGTGCTCACTTTGTAAACTTTAACACAGTGGTCCCTGGAGCAATGAAGCCTGTGTGGAACTGGATCTGGAATATCTGGGTGTTGGACACCTGTAAACACCAACCAGCAATCACATAGATAGATTCAGGAATCACATCGATAGATTCAGGAATCACATCGATAGATTCAGGAATCACATAGATTGATTCAGGAATCACATAGAAAGATTCAAACAATGACACTGTGGAGATTTATGATTGTAAGGGACGGAGATTCCATCTAGATTCCATTTAGATTCTAATTTAGTCTCAATGCACTAAAAACAATGCTGTGTTTATGTTCATTCATGGGACACAATGTATGTCATTGTGTTAGTGTGAGAGTATCTCCCAGAGTGCAATCTCTGTCTGTAAATAACAAGGTATCAGAACATGCTCCCATACAATCAGAGCTAACAGAATCTCTCATAGCATAGCATATCATAATCTGTGTGTGTGAATGAAAGTGTGTCAGTGTTATGTTAGCATGCTAGGCTAGCCCCATGCTGTACCCTGGCCTGCGTGCATCACTGTTGTGTTAGCATGCTAGGCTAGCCCCATGCTTTACCTTGGCCTGTGTGTGTCAGTGTTGTGTTAGCATGCTAGGCTATCCCCATGCTGTACCTTGGACTGTGTGCATCAGTGTTGTGTTAGCATGCTAGGCTATCCCCATGCTGTACCTTGGCGTGCGTGTGTCAGTGTTGTGTTAGCATGCTAGGCTAGCCCCATGCTGTACCTTGGCCTGTGTGTGTCAGTGTTGTATTAGCATGCTAGGCTAGCCCCATGCTTTACCTTGGCCTGTGTGTGTCAGTGTTGTGTTAGCATGCTAGGCTATCCCCATGCTGTACCTTGGCCTGCGTGCATCAGTGTTGTGTTAGCATGCTAGGCTATCCCCATGCTGTACCTTGGCGTGCGTGTGTCAGTGTTGTGTTAGCATGCTAGGCTAGCCCCATGCTGTACCTTGGCGTGCGTGTGTCAGTGTTGTGTTAGCATGCTAGGCTAGCCCCATGCTGTACCTTGGCCTGTGTGTGTCAGTGTTGTGTTAGCATGCTAGGCTAGCCCCATGCTTTACCTTGGCCTGTGTGTGTCAGTGTTGTGTTAGCATGCTAGGCTATCCCCATGCTGTACCTTGGCCTGCGTGCATCAGTGTTGTGTTAGCATGCTAGGCTATCCCCATGCTGTACCTTGGCGTGCGTGTGTCAGTGTTGTGTTAGCATGCTAGGCTAGCCCCATGCTGTACCTTGGCGTGCGTGTGTCAGTGTTGTGTTAGCATGCTAGGCTAGCCCCATGCTGTACCTTGGCCTGTGTGTGTCAGTGTTGTGTTAGCATGCTAGGCTAGCCCCATGCTGTACCTTGGCCTGCAGTCGTCCTCCGATGGTGTTCCTCATATGATAGACAGAGATGACCACATCACCCTGGACATTCACACCTAGAGGGAAGACCACCTTCCCCTCCTGGACCCTGTGCTCTCTGAGAGGGGTGGGGGGAGAAATGAGGAGAAAGAAGAGATGGTGTCATATATATATATATAAAAACAGGAGTGGAGAAATAGGCTATGATGATTTATTTCTTTCAGCATCTTGAGATAATGTGAATGTGCAGTTAGATACCATCTGTAGAGGTGCTATCTTTATCAGCATCATAAAAGCTGATAGTATTTCAACCACATAAAATATGCATCCAAGCCGAACTGAAATCTTATCAGAAACATGTTGGGTCGTTTTCACAGCTTTCAATTTCCTTACAACCGGTCAAACTGGAGTTATTGCATTTTCTCCCCGGTCCCTAAACGTCTTTAGCCATGAAAGAAGCAGAGATGACAGAGGAAACTTTACCGATGTCAACTTGAAGCATTCATTCTATCGATTTATGACATTCTGGTGAAGTAGTGCTTTATTTAGTCTTCTAGGGCAACATATAATGACAGAAGAGAAGCTGCATGTATCTAATTACAGACAAGTTGACTAACAAACAGCCTACCAAAATTATAAGGAAAATAAATTCCTGCACCCCCTGTCAAAAAAGAATCTGTCGTCTCTGACTATAGCCTACAGCGCATTTTCTATATTAACGGGTTAGGGTCGGTTGCGGGCCTCAGATTTCCACTTTATCACATATAGTCAGGTGGTTGTGGATGGGTTATTAGCAATTGCGGGCAGGTGCGGGTGAACAAACAGCTGACCCACGCACAACTACTGTGTGTGTGTGTGTACGTGTGTATCTGCAGCTACCTCATCCTCTCATAGTCCTGTGCAGTAGAAAAGATCTTGGTCTCCCCTATGAGGATCTCACAGAAGGGTCTGCAGCCGATGCGTTGTTTGTTGAAGCAAGGTACTGGACTCATGGTGACCGCCTTGACCACCAGGGGCTTGGAGTGTGGCAGGGAGGGCTTCTCTGATACCATACTGCACACATAGCCTATGTACCTGGAGAAGAGTGGCAGAGTATATAAGGCTACACACTAAACTACCATAAGCACTGAGTACTATCTAAAAACAAACATTGTCTATGTACATGAATACAGGGAAGGGGATTTTTTTTTGTGCTAGACAATATCACAAAACTATCCATCTTAAAGTTACAGTATATACTTCAAATCATCTTTCCTATGTGTACAGATTCTTGCACAAAATCGTGAGCTTTTTCAGTTTAGAGAAACTCAACAGAATAAAAACAAAGATGAGGCTTGATTCCCACTGTCTTCATGCATCAGCCTCTCTCTCTGTCTGTGCTGAAGAATGAAGCCGTCATTGTTATTATGAGAAGCAGCTGTGTGGCCAAGCGGCTGGCTGTGTTTGCATTTGTGTGTGTGTAAGTGTTTGTGTGTGTGTTTGTTTGTGTGTAAGTGTGTGTTTGTGTGTGTGTGCGTGTGCGTGTGTGTGCGTGCTTGCGTGTTGATTAATTGGCTGCTATATACAGTGAGGGAAAAAAGTATTTGATCCCCTGCTGATTTTGTACGTTTGCCCACTGACAAAGAAATGATCAGTCTATCATTTTAATGGTAGGTTTATTTGAACAGTGAGAGACAGAATAACAACAAAAAAATCCAGAAAAACGCTTGTCAAAAATGTTATAAATTGATTAGCATTTTAATGAGGGAAATAAGTATTTGACCCCCTCTCAATCAGAAAGATTTCTGGCTCCCAGGTGTCTTTTATACAGGTAACGAGCTGAGATTAGGAGCACACTCTTAAAGGGAGTACTCCTAATCTCAGTTTGTTACCTGTATAAAAGACACCTGTCCACAGAAGCAATCAATCAATCAGATTCCAAACTCTCCACCATGGCCAAGACCAAAGAGCTCTCCAAGGATGTCAGGGACATCATTGTAGACCTACACAAGGCTGGAATGGGCTACAAGACCATCGTCAAGCAGCTTGGTGAGAAGGTGACAACAGTTGGTGCGATTATTCGCAAATGGAAGAAACACAAAATAACTGTCAATCTCCCTCGGCCTGGGGCTCCATGCAAGATCTCACCTCGTGGAGTTGCAATGATCATGAGAACGGTGAGGAATCAGCCCAGAACTACACGGGAGTCAATGATCTCAAGGCAGCTGGGACCATAGTCACCAAGAAGGACTGAAGGACTGAAATCCTGCAGCGCCCGCAAGGTCCCCCTGCTCAAGAAAGCACATACACAGGCCCGTCTGAAGTTTGCTAATGAACATCTGAATGATTCAGAGGAGAACTGGGTGAAAGTGTTGTGGTCAGATGAGACCAAAATGGAGCTCTTTGGCATCAACTCAACTCGCCGTGTTTGGAGGAGGAGGAATGCTGCCTATGACCCCTAGAACACCATCCCCACTGTCAAACATGGAGGTGGAAACATTATGCTTTGGGGGTGTTTTTCTGCTAAGGGGACAGGACAACTTCACCGCATCAAAGGGACGATGGACGGGGCCATGTACCGTCAAATCTTGAGTGAGAACCTCCTTCCCTCAGCCAGGCATTGAAAATGGGTCGTGGATAGGTATTCCAGCATGACAATGACCCAAAACACACGGCCAAGGCAACAAAGGAGTGGCTCAAAAAGAGCACATTAAGGTCCTGGAGTGGCCTAGCCAGTCTCCAGACCTTAATCTCATAGAAAATCTGTGGAGGGAGCTGAAGGTTCGAGTTGCCAAACGTCAGGCTCGAAACCTTAATGACTTGGAGAAGATCTGCAAAGAGGAGTGGGACAAAATCCCTCCTGAGATGTGTGCAAACCTGGTGGCCAACTACAAGAAACGTCTGACCTCTGTGATTGCCAACAAGGGTTTTGCCACCAAGTACTAAGTCATGTTTTACAGAGGGGTCAAATACTTATTTCCCTCATTAAAATGCAAATCAATTTATAACATTTTGCGTTTTTCTGGATTTTTTTGTTGTTATTCTGTCTCTCACTGTTCAAATAAACCTACCATTAAAATTATAGACTGATCATTTCTTTGTCAGTGGGCAAACTTACAAAATCAGCAGGGGATCAAATACTTTTTTCCCTCACTGTAATTCTGGCACTTCGTTAGCATCGTGGCTAATGCGCCATGTATCGCAACTCAGTAATCGTAAAATAAATAGGCTGATAAAGGATTTAGGAGAGTAATGGAGGGGGAGGAGGAAGGAGGAGATGCTAGGTTTTTAAGTTCATCCATCATCTCAAAATAACAAAGTCAAAGTCATGGAGGTGAAGACTGTTTATGTGGATCATTTTTGTCTGCTGTTTTCCACTGCAATGAACGGCAATCGATATAAATGCACACACACACACCCCACAAAACACACCCTCTGTGTTGCCCTACCTCCGGTGCGAGGGCCAGAGGCCTGAGCCGGGTCTCTTGGCGCTGAGCAGCTGCATGGCGGGCACTGGGTTGGTGAAGAGGTGGCAGAAGCAGAACATGGCACAGACCAGCACACCCGACGGAGCACGGCCGTCCTTAAGGAGGGAACAGACAGTAAGTAGACAGTAGATACACAGAGGCAACGCTAGCAAGCGAACAGCAACATGCCAACATATACTGTTATGTAGGATAACGACTTGAAGAAAAGGAAGCAGCAGCAAGCTTACAGTACTTCAATTTACACAACTCAATGCATGGCAAAATACAATGCAGTGGTGGCATTTTGTTATGATTCCTATAAGCTAGGATAGTCTTTGATTCCTATAAGCTAGGATAGTCTTCATGATTCCTATAAGCTAGGATAGTCTTTATGATTCCTATAAGATAGGATAGTATTTATGATTCCTATAAGCTAGGATAGTCTTTATGATTCCTATAAGCTAGGATAGTATTTATGATTCCTATAAGCTAGGATAGTCTTTATGATTCTTAGAAGCTAGGATAGTCTTTATGATTCCTATAAGCTAGGTTAGTCTTTATGATTCTTAGAAGCTAGGATAGTCTTTATGAGTCCTATAAACTAGGATAGTCTTTATGATTCTTAGAAGCTAGGATAAGCTAGGATAGTCTTTATGATTCCTATAAGCTAGGATAGTCTTTATGATTCTTATAAGCTAGGATAGTCTTTATGATTCCTATATGCTAGGATAGTCTTTATGATTCTTAGAAGCTAGGATAGTCTTTATGATTCCTATAAGCTAGGATAGTCTTTATGATTCTTAGAAGCTAGGATAGTCTTTATGATTCAATAAACTAGGATAGTCTTTATGATTCTTAGAAGCTAGGATAGTCTTTATGATTCCTATAAGCTAGGATAGTCTTTATGATTCTTAGAAGCTATGATATTCTTTATGATTCTTAGAAGCTAGGATAGTCTTTATGATTCTTAGGAGCTAGGATAGTGTTTATGGTTCCTATAAGCTAGGATAGTCTTTATGATTCTTAGAAGCTAGGATAAGCTAGGATAGTCTTTATGATTCCTATAAGCTAGGATAGTCTTTATGATTCTTAGAAGCTAGGATAGTCTTTATGAGTCCTATAAGCTAGGATAATCTTTATGATTCCTATAAGCTAGGATAGTCTTTATGATTCTTAGAAGCTAGGATAGTCTTTATGATTCCTATAAGCTAGGATAGTCTTTATGATTCCTATAAGCTAGGATAGTCTTTATGATTCTTAGAAGCTAGGATAGTCTTTATGGTTCCTATAAGCTAGGATAGTCTTTATGATTCTTAGAAGCTAGGATAGTCTTTATGATTCCTATAAGCTAGGATAGTCTTTATGATTCTTAGAAGCTAGGATAGTCTTTATGATTCTTAGAAGATAGGATAGTCTTTATGATTCCTATAAGCTAGGATAGTCTTTATGATTCTTAGAAGCTAGGATAGTCTTTATGATTCTTAGAAGCTAGGATAGTCTTTATGATTCTTAGAAGCTAGGATAGTCTTTATGATTCTTAGAAGCTAGGATAGTCTTTATGATTCTTAGAAGCTAGGATAGTCTTTATGATTCTTAGAAGCTAGGATATTCTTTATGATTCCTATAAGCTAGGATAGTCTTTATGATTCAATAAACTAGGATAGTCTTTATGATTCTTAGAAGCTAGGATAGTCTTTATGATTCCTATAAGAGAGGATAGTCTTTATGATTCTTAGAAGCTAGGATATTCTTTATGATTCTTAGAAGCTAGGATAGTCTTTATGATGCATGGCCAATATTTTTGGTTTCAATCCCACTTCTCTCCAATAACACTAAACAGGGACTCCCCACACAGAGTTTGTCTGTTACAATCTACTGCCACAGTATCTAAATATAACTCCTGTCTCTTTTGTTTAGTAAAGTTATACAGTTATAAATACATCTGGTTGCGGTAATGTTAAGTTCCTTAAACTGGGCCAAGTATTTCTAGGAGAGCAACATTCTTCCATCAGCACAAAACGTTGAGGAAGACATTTGAAGAACTTTAATATAAACTAAAAGTGATTGCTCAACACAGATGAACTTGCTAACCACAATGAAATCACATACAGAAATATGGAAAGCATTACATTCCAGTCATAGTGTACTGTAGCACATAAGTAAAAACATGTACAGTATACTTTGAAACATGTACAGTATACTTTGAAATATGTACAGCATACTTTGAAATGTGTACAGTATACTTTGAAATATGTACAGTTACTTTGAAACATGTGCAGTATACTTTGAAATATGTTCAGTATACTTTGAAACATGTACAGTATACTTTGAAATATGTGCAGTATACTTTTCTCTACCCATAATTATTTTACTACAGCAAATGGACAGGACCAGGATTTGTATTATATTCTATTCTATTGTAGTCTACACTTCTCTCTTGAATACAGAGAACATCTGTCTTTGCTTAAGGTCTGCAATGCCAGTGAGAGAGCTCAGTGGAAACTCAAGCTGAAACAGAAACAATTGGAGCAGTATTCCAAGCTGTGTTTCTCTTGGACCCCAGGCAGTCCCACAAACCCAGAACAAACCCAGGACAAACCCAGGATGGTAGGGAGGCAACAATGAGAGGAGGAGGAGGAGGAGGAGGAGGAGGAGGAGGAGGAGGAGGAGATGGAGAGAGAGGAATAGTGTGTAAACAAGAAAGAAGTGAGGATGAGTGTGAATGATGGTTCTCAGGACAGAGGTAACAATAAGAGGGGGGAAAGAGTAGGTAGGAGATGGAGGGAGAAAGGAGGAGAGAAAGGAATGGTGTGTTAACAAGAGAGGAGGTAGGAGATGGAGGGAGAAAGGAGGAGAGAAAGGAATGGTGTGTTAACAAGAGAGGAGGTAGGAGATGGGGGAGAAAGGAGGAGAGAAAGGAATGGTGTGTTAACAAGAGAGGAGGTAGGAGATGGAGGGAGAAAGGAGGAGAGAAAGGAATGGTGGGTAAACAAGAGAGGAGGAACAGAGGGAAAAGGACAGAGTGAAGAAGATGTATGTGAATAATCACTCCTGTGGGTCTCATCTTACCGAGCAGGTGATGACACACACATTCTTAGGGTTCTGTTTGAGCCAGTTGTGCATGTTCTTACACACCGCAAACAGGTTGTGCAAGCTGGGAGCCTGGTGGGACGGCCAGTTACACCTCTGAGACCTGGAGAGGGGTTGTGGGGGGGGGGTGGGGGGGGGGGGGGGGTGGGGGGGTTGGTTTGTGGGTGGTTGTTTGAGGGCTGGGGTTTTTTTTTTTAGTGGTGTTTGAAAAGTGCGCTGTATTTCTTTGTCTCCACTTGATCCTCTCTCTCCCATGCTATTCGGGCTCTCTATCTTCTCTATCCCTCCTCGCTACACTTCCTCTCGCCTCTCTCTTTCTTTCTCTCTCTACATGCTCTCGTCTCTACTCTCCTCTCTCTCTCGTCGCTCTCTCTCTCTCTACTCTCTCGCCTCTCTTCTCTCTCCTCTATCTCTCTCTCATCTCCTCTCTCCTCGTCTTCTCTCTCTCTCCTCAGTCCCTCCCGTCAGTGACAGCAACATGTGCACGAATCACGAGTTACCATGATGAGTCCTGTATAGACACTTTACTTTATGGCTCAACTAATTTCTGCCTCACTGTGAGAGAAACTGAGCAAAGTCTTACTCTCCAAGTTCAGTCTTTCATTCTGATTTAGGTCTATGCATAGAACAATATGCTATGTTTGCCATGAAACACAATGCTGGGCTATGGGTAATGTATTGTAATGTATTATAAATCCTTGCATGCATGTTGGTATAGTGTGTTTTAGCAAACGGAGAGTGTCTGAACTGAGGCTAAGTATAGTATCTCTGTGTGTTGATCTTGGTAGGCCTTGGTAGACCTCCATCTCGTTCTCTCTGTCTCACCCGGTTGGAGAACTTGGCGCCGCGGTAGTTGCGCTGTGACAGGTTGAAGACGGTGTAGTGGTCAGCGTGCCGTGAGTCCAGGAAGGAGCGCATGTCCTCCACATGGTTCTGGTTGCCGATCTGCAACGCCTCTGCAGGATATGACATCACTGGCAGGGGATAGAGAGGGAGACATTGGCAGGGGACAGAGAGGGAGACATTGGCAGAGGACAGAGAGAGAGTAATTGGCAGGGGTCAGAGAATGAGATATTGGCAGGGGACAGAGAGGGAGACATTGGAAGAGGACAGAGAGGGAGACATTGGAAGAGGACAGCGAGGGAGACATTGGCAGGGGACAGAGAGGGAGACATTGGAAGAGGACAGAGAGGGAGACATTGGAAGAGGACAGAGAGGGAGACATTGGCAGGGGACAGAGAGGGATACATGGGCAGGGGACAGAGAGGGAGACATTGGAAGAGGACAGAGAGGGAGACATTGGAAGAGGACATAGAGGGAGACATTGGCAGGGGACATAGAGGGAGACATTGGAAGAGGACAGAGAGGGAGACATGGGCAGGGGACAGAGAGGGAGACATTGGAAGAGGACAGAGAGGGAGACATGGGCAGGGGACAGAGAGGGAGACATGGGCAGGGGACATAGAGGGAGACATGGACAGGGGACATAGAGGGAGACATGGGCAGGGGACAGAGAGGGAGACATTGGCAGGGGACAGAGAGGGAGACATTGGCAGGGGACACAGAGGGAGACATGGACAGGGGACATAGAGGGAGACATGGGCAGGGGACAGAGAGGGAGACATTGGCAGGGGAAAGAGAGGGAGACATTGGCAGGGGACAGAGAGGGAGACATTGGCAGGGGACAGAGAGGGAGACATTGGCAGAGGACAGAGAGAGAGTTATTGGCAGGGGTCAGAGAATGAGATATTGGCAGGGGACAGAGAGGGAGACATTGGAAGAGGACAGAGAGGGAGACATTGGAAGAGGACAGAGAGGGAGACATTGGCAGGGGACAGAGAGGGAGACATTGGAAGAGGACAGAGAGGGAGACATTGGAAGAGGACAGAGAGGGAGACATTGGCAGGGGACAGAGAGGGATACATGGGCAGGGGACAGAGAGGGAGACATTGGAAGAGGACAGAGAGGGAGACATTGGAAGAGGACATAGAGGGAGACATTGGCAGGGGACATAGAGGGAGACATTGGAAGAGGACAGAGAGGGAGACATGGGCAGGGGACAGAGAGGGAGACATTGGAAGAGGACAGAGAGGGAGACATGGGCAGGGGACAGAGAGGGAGACATGGGCAGGGGACATAGAGGGAGACATGGACAGGGGACATAGAGGGAGACATGGGCAGGGGACAGAGAGGGAGACATTGGCAGGGGACAGAGAGGGAGACATTGGCAGGGGACAGAGAGGGAGACATTGGCAGGGGACAGAGAGGGAGACATTGGCAGAGGACAGAGAGAGAGTAATTGGCAGGGGTCAGATAATGAGATATTGGCAGGGGACAGAGAGGGAGACATTGGAAGAGGACAGAGAGGGAGACATTGGAAGAGGACAGAGAGGGAGACATTGGCATGGGACAGAGAGGGAGACATTGGAAGAGGACAGAGAGGGAGACATTGGAAGAGGACAGAGAGGGAGACATTGGCAGGGGACAGAGAGGGATACATGGGCAGGGGACAGAGAGGGAGACATTGGAAGAGGACAGAGAGGGAGACATTGGAAGAGGACATAGAGGGAGACATTGGCAGGGGACATAGAGGGAGACATTGGAAGAGGACAGAGAGGGAGACATGGGCAGGGGACAGAGAGGGAGACATTGGAAGAGGACAGAGAGAGAGACATGGGCAGGGGACAGAGAGGGAGACATGGGCAGGGGACATAGAGGGAGGCATGGACAGGGGACATAGAGGGAGACATGGGCAGGGGACAGAGAGGGAGACATTGGCAGGGTACAGAGAGGGAGACATTGGCAGGGGACAGAGAGGGAGACATTGGCAGGGGACAGAGAGGGAGACATTGGCAGGGGACAGAGAGGGAGACATAGGCAGGGGACAGAGAGGGAGACATTGGCACGGGACAGAGAGGGAGACATTGGCAGAGGACAGATAGAGAGTAATTGGCAGGGGTCAGAGAATGAGATATTGGCAGGGGACAGAGAGGGAGACATTGGAAGAGGACAGAGAGGGAGACATTGGCATGGGACAGAGAGGGAGACATTGGAAGAGGACAGAGAGGGAGACATTGGCAGGGGACAGAGAGGGATACATGGGCAGGGGACAGAGAGGGAGACATTGGAAGAGGACAGAGAGGGAGACATTGGAAGAGGACATAGAGGGAGACATTGGCAGGGGACATAGAGGGAGACATTGGAAGAGGACAGAGAGGGAGACATGGGAAGGGGACAGAGAGGGAGACATTGGAAGAGGACAGAGAGAGAGACATGGGCAGGGGACAGAGAGGGAGACATGGGCAGGGGACAGAGAGGGAGACATGGGCAGGGGACATAGAGGGAGGCATGGACAGGGGACATAGAGGGAGACATGGGCAGGGGACAGAGAGGGAGACATTGGCAGGGTACAGAGAGGGAGACATTGGCAGGGGACAGAGAGGGAGACATTGGCAGGGGACAGAGAGGGAGACATTGGCAGGGGACAGAGAGGGAGACATGGGCAGGGGACAGAGAGGGAGACATGGGCAGGGGACAGAGAGGGAGACATTGGCAGGGGACAGAGAGGGAGACATTGGCAGGGGACAGAGAGGGAGACATATGGGCAATCCAAGTCACCATAGAGGTGATGATGAGGCATGCTAGGATATACTATGCTATTATTAAACACTGTCATGGCGTTCCATGACAGTGTTTGATTTGATCCATACTATTAACCCTTATTTTACCAGGTAAATTGACTGAGAACACATTCTCATTTACAGCAATGACCTGGGGAATAGTTACAGGGGAGAGGAGGGAGGATGAACGAGCCAATTGGAAGCTGGGGATGATTAGGTGGCCATGATGGTATGAGGGCCAGATTGGGGATATGAGGGCCAGATTGGGGATATGAGGGCCAGATTGGGGCTATGAGGGCTAGATTGGGGACATGAGAGCCAGATTGGGGATATGAGGGCCAGATTGGGGCTATGAGGGTTAGATTGGGGATATGAGGGCCAGATTGGGGATATGAGAGACAGATTGGGCATATGAGAGCCAGATTGGGGATATGAGGGACAGCTTGGGGATATGACGGACAGATTGGGGATTTAGTAGGAGGGCTATACACATTTAAAAAGGTAGGGAATTATACTAAATATTGAAATGATGAGAGTACTGTTTGTGATTTATGTATAGTAATATTATTCAGTTTAAAATTGGGTTTAAAATAATATAACTGCAGGTGTTTTATAACAGGTTTGACTGTCATGTGCAGCTACATGTGGAGTGTTATAGAGAATAATAATGAGTGTTCAGTGAGAGGAGGGGTCAGAGGTGACACGCTACGCATGATGGAATAGGGGCCCCCAGGTAACGCCTGCGTGACTGTGTCCTCTGCATCTGCCTGCAGGACAGACTGCTGTTACATGCAGCCTCACAACACTGAAAGTGTGTGTGTGTGTGTGTGTGTGTGTGTGTGTGTGTGTGTGTGTGTGTGTGTGTGTGTGTGGTGTGTGTGTGGTGTGGTGTGTGTGTGTGTGTGGTGTGTGTGTGTGGTGTGTGTGTGTGTGTGTGTTGTGTGTGTGTGTGTGTGTGTGTGCGTGTGTGTCAGGGACAGGAAGATGAAGACGTTTCCACAGCACAGCTCTCCTCTGTTTACAGCAGACAGGTGTGTGAGGTGGAAGCGTGTGTGTGTGTTGCCTGCTATGAGGGGCCCATCACAAGGGTGGAGCATCATTTGTGTTTTTATTAGGGGTGTAATGGTACACCCACTCTCCTAGACATCCCACCCTCCTAGACATCCCACCATCCCACCCCCTTTAAAGTATCTGTTGTGCAGGGAAAAAGTGAGGCAATGTTTATAGGAGGCTGGAGACTGAGAGATCCAGATGTCTATTGCTGGCTAGGTTGAGACGAAACCTGTGAAGCCCGAAAACAGGCTTACTGTTCCCCATATTGAGAAAATTAAACTACAGTTCGACAATTACGTTTCTATACGGTACTCACCTATGATTCGTGATGTGATGTAGGCAATGTCCAGCTCTCCTTTTGTGTATCTGTAAACATAGATGTTAATGCATTTCAGATTATGTAATTACAGTGTTTAGAACACTCTGTCGACTGTTTTGTGTTGTGACATTTGTATCTAATGTAATGGTTCAAAATTACATTGTAGCAAAGCTGTAGTGGAGTGGACATACACAGACAGGGGTCAATGTGCTTTAGGCCTGTAGCCTACTGGCCACAGCTACACAATCCAAGTGACAATACAAATAACCTAAAGTGTATTAGGTTGGGGCCCTGTTGCTTGTGGTGTAAATGTAAATCCATTATCTAGGCCACTAGTCGGTTAGTGAAGTGCTGAGGTGGATGAGCGCCATATGGCCCTGAGGGCTTCCCATCCTGGCCCTGCATGATTACCCAACAGCCCAACTGGAGGAGGGGAGGCAGGGAAGGAGGAGGCAGGGAGGGAAGAGCGGGAGGCAGGGAGGGAGGGCAGAGAGGGAGGAGGGGAAGCGGGAACAGGAGGAAGCATCAGTGGGCAAATCCTCATAACGAGGTAATTGGACCAACAGCAGTGTTCTATTTTGATCCAGTGTTGTGTTGTGCTCTCCTGCAGCGTGAACAGCGTTAGCTTATCTGGATAATATGGCTAGCGCCAGCTCCGCTAACTGTACTAGCTGCTGCTTGCGCTAGCTCTGCTAACTGTACTAGCTGCTGCTAGCGCCAGCTCTGCTAACTGTAGTAGCTGCTGCTAGTGCTAGCTCTGCTAACTGTACTAGCTGCTGCTAGCTCTGCTTACTATGGCTGCTATTGGAGGCTCCTCAGAGGAAGAGGAGGACCATCCTCCTCAGTAAATTTCAGAAAAATAGAAATAGTGAAACATTAAAAAAGTTATCCTTTTTAGATAAAACTATACTAAATATTTACACATGTCACCAAATAATTGATTAAAACACACTGTTTTGCAATGAAGGTCTACAGTAGCCTCAACAGCACTCTGTAGGGTAGCACCATGGTGTAGCCGGAGGACAGATAGTTTCCGTCCTCCTCTGGGTACATTGACTTCAATACAAAACCTAGGAGGCTCATGGTTCTCACCCTTCCATAGACTTACACAGTAATTATGACAACTTCCGGAGGACGTCCTCCAACCTATCAAAGCTTTTGCAGCATGAACTGACATGTTGTCCACCCAATCAAAGGATCAGATAATTAATCTAGTACTGAAAGCATAAGCTGCAGCTTGCTGACTGTACACTGTACTCCATGATTGTAGCAGGTTTACTAACACGTTAGTTCTAGTAGCTATGTTAACTATGACGTTAGCTAATATGGTGACAACGATGTAGGCTGTGTGTAGAGGTTAGCGGTTATGATATGAAGGTTTGGTGCACTTAAGTTCACAAGCGAAAGGGGGCCACAAAATTGTGAACAGCTATAATAAATGGTATAGAACAGTATTTTGAATTTTGAAAATTCAAATTACAGCTCTCTAAAGTATCTTGTTACCAAATACATTGGAGTGTAGTTCAGCTCAGTGTAATACAAATTACAAAATAATCAGAAGTAATTGAAATACATATTTCAAATACATGTAACAGAAATACTGCCCATCTGTGATTATGACCACTCAGGGGCATTTTGTAGAGCTTGCATTTCCCGATATTTCCTGTGGTTACTGTGACACATCAGAGTCAGAGGCCAGGGCATAGAGTATCGATTTTTCAGATGGGGTTTGTCTGTAGATTCTGACAGAGAGGAGAGGAATGGATCATCCATAATAATTAAGTCCATGAGGCAAATACAAAGGCGCTCAGAGATTAGAGAGAGAGAGAGAGAGAGAGAGAGCGAGAGAGGAGAGAGAGAAGGAGAGAGAGAAGAGAGAGAGAGAGAGGATATATAGATAATATATCATAGCTCTAAATATTAGATAGCGAGAGAGAGATATCTATATCTATATATATATTCGGATATCTAATCTATATCTCTATCATCTATATATCTCTACTCGATCCCTCTCTCGCCTCGCTCTGACTCGCGCTCTCTATCTCTCTCTCGCTCACTCTCTATGCTTCTCTCTCTCTCTCGTCTCATCGCTCTCATATCTCTATCTCTCGCTATTGGAGAGTTAAACCAATACAACACTGACTGAGAACAGTACAGAACACAGCACTGCAAAGTCAGTCTGCCTGTCACAACTGCATTTGTTCTAGGGAACATCGTGTTGGGTGAAAGAAAACCTGTGTGGTTGATTGAAGGGTTTTTCAGTTTTTGAATTTTACCTCAATAATGACACAGAATCTTAATTAGACCTAGTGAAATGCTTACTTACAAGCCCTTAACCAACAATGCAGTTTTAAGAAAAATAAGAGTTAAGAAAATATTTACTAAATAAAATAAAAAAATAAAAGAGCAACAATAAAATAACAATAACAGATTTTCTATGGGATTAAGGTCTGGAGACTGGCTAGGCCACTCCAGGACCTTAATGTGCTTCTTCTTGAGCCACTCCTTTGTTGCCTTGGCCGTGTGTTTTGGGTCATTGTCATGCTGGAATACCCATCCACGACCCATTTTCAATGCCCTGGCTGAGGGAAGGAGGTTCTCACCCAAGATTTGACGGTACATGGCCCCGTCCATCGTCCCTTTGATGCGGTGAAGTTGTCCTGTCCCCTTAGCAGAAAAACACCCCCAAAGCATAATGTTTCCACCTCCATGTTTGACGGTGGGGATGGTGTTCTTGGGGTCATAGGCAGCATTCCTCCTCCTCCAAACACGGTGAGTTGAGTTGATGCCAAAGAGCTCAATTTTGGTCTCATCTGACCACAACACTTTCACCCAGTTCTCCTCTGAATCATTCAGATGTTCATTGGCAAACTTCAGACAGGCGTGTATATGTGCTTTCTTGAGCAGGGGGACCTTGCGGGCTCTGCAGGATTTCAGTCCTTCACGGCGTAGTGTGTTACCAATTGTTTTCTTGGCGACTATGGTCCCAGCTGCCTTGAGATCATTGACAAGATCCTCCCGTGTAGTTCTGGGCTGATTCCTTACCGTTCTCATGATCATTGCAACTCCACAAGGTGAGATCTTGCATGGAACCCCAGGCCGAGGGAGATTGACAGTTCTTTTGTGTTTCTTCCATTTGCGAATAATCGCACCAACTGTTGTCACCTTCTCACCAAGCTGCTTGGCGATGGTCTTGTAGCCCATTCCAGCCTTGTGTAGGTCTACAATCTTGTCCATGACATCCTTGGAGAGCTCTTTGGTCTTGGCCATGGTGGAGAGTTTGGAATCTGATTGATTGATTGCTTCTGTGGACAGGTGTCTTTTATACAGGTAACAAACTGAGATTAGGAGCACTCCCTTTAAGAGTGTGCTCCTAATCTCAGTTTGTTACCTGTATAGAAGACACCTGGGAGCCAGAAATCTTTCTGATTGAGAGGGGGTCAAATACTTATTTCCCTCATTAAAATGCAAATCAATTTATAACATTTTTGACATGCGTTTTTCTGGATTTTTTTGTTGTTATTCTGTCTCTCACTGTTCAAATAAAGCTACCATTAAAATGATAGACTGGTCATTTCTTTGTCAGTGGGCAAACGTACAAAATCAGCAGGGGATGAAATACTTTTTTCCCTCACTGTAGATAGTAAACAGTGAGTAGCAGCACCGTAAATAAAGGGCAGGGGGTCAATGCAAATAGTCCAGGTAGCCATTTGATTAGCTGTTCAGCAGTCTTATGGCTTGGGGGTAGAAGCTGTTAAGAAGCCTTTTGGACCTAGACTTGGCGCTCCGGTACCGCTTGCCGTGTGGTAGCAGAGAAAACAGTCTATGACTAGGGTGGCTGGTGTCTTTGGCAATTTTTAGGGCCTTCCTCTGACACCGCCTGGTATAGAGGTCCTGGATGGCAGGAAGCTTGGCCCCAGTGATGTACCGGGCCGTACGGACTACCCTCTGTAGTGCCTTGCGGTTGGAGGCCGAGCAGTTGCCATACCAGGCGGTGATGCAACCAGTCAGGATGCTGTCGATGGTGCAGCTGTATAACTTTTTGAGGATCTGAGGACCCATGGCAAATCTTTTCAGTCTCCTGAGGGGGAATAGTCGTTGTCGTGCCCTCTTCACGACTGTCTTGGTGTGTTTGACCATGATAGTTTGTTGATGATGTGGACACCAAGGAACTTGAAGCTCTCAACCTGCTCCACTACAGCCCCATCGATGAGAATAGGGGTGTGCTCGGCCCTCCATTTCCTGTAGTCCACGATCACCTATTGTCCTGATCACGTTGAGGTAGAGGTTGTTGTCCTGGCACCACACTGCCAAGTCTCTGACCTCCTTCCTATAGGCTGTCTCATCGTTGTCGGCGATCAGGCCTACCACCGTTGTGTCATCGGCAAACTTAATGATGGTGTTGGAGTCGTGCTTGGCCACGTCGTCATGGGTGAACAGGGAGTACAGGAGGGGACTAAGCACGCACCCCTGAGGGACCCCCGTGTTGAGGATCAGCGTGGCAGATGTGTTGTTGCCTACCCTTACCACATGGGGCGGCCCGTCAGGGAGTGTCTGAGTGTTGGAGTATGCCCCTGGCTAAAAAACAAGAAAATGGTGCAGTCTGGTTTGCTTTATGTAAGGAATTTGAAATGATTCATACTTTTACTTTTACTTATGATACTTAAGTATATTTTAGAAATTACATTTACTTTTGATACTTAAGTATATTTAAAAGTGGTATTTTACTGGGTGAGTTTCACTTTTACTTGAGTCATTTTCTATTAAGGTATCTTTACTTTTACTTATGTATGACAATTGGGAACTTTTTCCACCACTGGAAAGGATGGGAGAAGGGAGGAGAAAAGACGAGACTAGGCCAGAGACAAGCTTATCAGCAGAAAACTGTGATCGACATACTGAATCAATGTGCCCCAGCTCTGCCCCGTCCCTGCTCTGTGAACGACACTGTTCCAAAGGGTCCAGAGAGACGAGTGTGTGTGTGTATGTGTGTGTGTATGTGCGTGTGTGCATGCGGGTGTGTGTGGCAGGGTTAAAGAGAGAGTGTGTGGACAAGGCGTGGGTCTCGAGAGGCCTGCTCACTGTCTGACAGTACAGAGGCCCCTTTGTGTGTCCGCTGAAGACGCCTGCGCAGAAATACTCTCTCACAGGACCCAGCGGTGCCAGACTCGACAGCCTCTCTCCCTCATTCCTCTCCCCCTCCTGTTCTTCATCCCTCTACACCCCTTCTACTGTTCCTCCCCTTCTCCTCCTCCACTCATCTGTTTCCCCTCACACTCCCTTCAGGAAAGATCTAGTCAGCCTTTTCTATCAGCTATCTAATTGACTAATATTTCATCTCATATACAGATACAATTCAAAGAATACCTCTCAGTGTCTCACAGTGAAAAATGGCCAACCATTTCGGCAATATAGTCTAAAGTGTTATCTCATTGTTGCTGTAATGTAACTGTAGATCCATAGAGGTGTGTCGCTGTGTGTAAAACCATGTGTAATCAGCCCAGGCATTGTTACCCCATTCCATGTTTCACAGCTCAAGGAACCACAGCAACCAGGAATGACATGTAAATATCTCAGCTGGGTGATAACACAGTCTCCTCCTCTCACACTTACATGCTAGAGCCCAGCAGGCACACTGAGAGAGCTACTAGGCCCAGTCTCAGAACGCTATACGGTAAGAAAGTGGCACTTCCTGGATCCTCGTTTTGTAGGCTAAGAACAAACCTCACATTTGCATCGTCAAAGTCATGAAAACACTGTAATTTAAGATATACTGTATACGTGTTTCAGAGTGAATTCACCTACCATATGCCGGTTTTCAACTTATTTGACGGCCAAGAAGAAGCACAAAGCCGAAAAGTTACAACCGTTTCATTACAACTACACACATGAACTACAACTCCCACCAGCTGTATATGTCTCACTTTCGACAGCTTGCCGGTGAACATAAAATCTAGTTTTTTGCATTTTCAAAAAGTACTGGCTGGCAATGTTCCGTAAAGAAAACAGCATAATCTAATTTACCATCCTGTGAGTCAGTCTAGCATGGGAACCAGAACTGGGTCAGACAGATATTTCTGCCTTAGACAATAGACACAATTGCATGGACCCACATAAAAATATACTACAGTTTACTATAGAATACTAAAGTACTTACTATAGAATTCTGTAGTAAACTATAGAATATTATACTACACACTGTAGAATCCCTCGATCATGTGTAGTACTTAGTATCGAATTGTGTAGTATACTGCAGAATACTATAGTAAATACTTCAGCATTATCCAAACAAAAAAACCTTTAGTAGATACTACAGAAATATCTGCAAAAACACAACTGTCTGCAAAAACACAAAAAAATATATATACTAAATACTACAGTATTTAATTTGCATATAATCTGCCCATTTCACAATTTGTGCCACCCGTAAGTGAGAAACCTACATGCCAAGTATACGCCATATATCGTGTTCCCTATGGTTATAGAAAAGAGCAGAAGCTATGAACTCTCCGGTCAGAACTTTAGTAAACTTGAGTAAATACTACAGTAATGTCTGCAATAACACTACAGTATACTACAGTCCGCAAAAACACTACATTAATTACTATAGTATATACTACTCTCTTTTTTTTACTACATTATTTATACTATAGTACTCTGTAAATACTACAGTATGGATTACATATCTGGAGATGGAGGACACGGACACACACTTAGTTCAGGTCTCCCTTGTAAAAGAGGTCTTCAGTCCGCAAAAACACTACAGTGAATACTATAGTATTCCTACCATAGTATACATTATAGTATGTTTTCATACGGGGAGGTTAGCTATAGCAGAGCTATTGGCAGGGGCAGGGGCATGTCAACTTACCCCAGCCAAGGAGCTCCAATGTGGGGCACAGTCACATCATATTCCCCTTGCCAGAGCCAGGGGATAGGTAGTCTTCTGGGGTCAGGAAAGGTATGAGGTAAGGGGGTGGGGGGTGGTTGTTGGGACTTACGTGGCCACCTGGTGCATGACTTTGGTGGAGGTGTCCTTTAGAGTGTCCTTCAGGTTATCCTTGAAGTTGCTGAAGAACTTGCCGGCTCCACCCTTCACCATGTCCAGCAGGCCTCCGCCATAGTTCGCGTCCATATCTGGAGATGGAGGACCTTTACAATTAAGAATTAAAGGAGAAACACACAGAAACACACTGAGAATGCAGACAGAGACGGACAGAGACGGACAGAGACAGACGGAGACCGACAGAGACGGACAGAGACGGACAGAGACGGACAGAGACAGACGGAGACAGACGGAGACCGACATGTAGATGTATGTAGAGACACACTATATGCAGCACAGCACAGACAAACAAATATAACAACATGGGCACAGAGACAACATGCAACATATACAATAACAAGCACACTAATTGGACTGATAAACTGTTAAAGAAAGAAAGAGAGAGAGAGAGAGAGAGAGAAGAGAGACGAGGGGACGAGGAGGAGAGAGATGAGCGAGAAGAGAGGGAGTGAGGATAGACGAGAGAGGGAAGAGAGATGAGAGAGAGCCGAGAGAGACGAGAGAGAGAGAGAGGAGAGACGAGATGATAGGGAGTGAGAGAGCGGCAATGCAGGGAGAGAGAGAGCACACGAAGACACACGCCACCACTACCACCACCATACACCACCACCCCCACGCGAGCATCGTTACCACCACCACCACTGACCACCACGAGAGAGACAACACACACAAGAGAGACGACGACCCACAAACCACGACGACGACCACCACCAGACCACACAAAAGACGAGCACCAACCAGAGAGACACGACTACCACACACCACAAACGACCACCACCATAGAGACACACCACCACCTACGACCACACTAAGACGACACCCACCAAGAAAGAAGCACACCACCACCACCAACCACCAACAACCACACTACCACAACACACCACCACAATACTACCACCAACTACCAACTACACCACAACCCACACACCAAACCACCCTCCACACTATCCACCACCCACACTACAACCACCACCACACACACCACCCACACTATCACCACTACCACCACCCACCACCACACCCCCCCACCCAAACTCACCACTACCACCACACCACACCAACCACACACCACACACACCAACCCACTAAACCACCACCCACCCAAACCCCACTAAAGACCACCACCACCACACCACCACCACACGACACACCAAACCACACACCACCACTACCACTACCACCACAAACACCACACACCCACCACCACCACATACACCTACACCACTACATACCACCAACCACACACCACCAACTACCCCACACACACCACTACCACCACCACCCACACCACACACCAACCACCACCCACACCAACCACCCACCACCACACACACCACGACCACCACCACCACCACCACCACCACCACCACCACGACCAACACCACCACACCAACCACACCACACCACCCGACCACCACCACACCACACACACACACACCACCACTACCACGACACACCACAACCACACAAACCACAACTACCCCACACACCACACCACCACCCACCACTACCCACCACCACACCACACCACCCACTACCACTACCACTACCACTACCACTACCACTAACCACCCCACTACTACCACTACCACCATTACCACCACCACTACTACCACCACTACCACCACCACTACCACTACCACTACCACCACCACTACCACCACCACTACCACTACCACTACCACTACTACCACCACTACTACCACTACCACCACTACCACTACCATTATCACTACTTGCCAGCTACGCCCTCCACCATGTCCAGCAGCAGCCCTCCACCATTGTTGGCGTCCATATCTGGAGATGGAGGACACGGACACACACTTAGGTCAGATCTCCCTTGTAAAAGAGGTTTCCTGATCTCACTGGGATTTCCTGGATAGATAAAGGTTATTAAATCAAAATAAAAACTACCACTACCACCATCACTACTATCACTAACACAAACCTCAGAGCCTCAACACACCCAGTGTTCCTCTATAGAAGGTCTTAGGGAGTAGTAATCAAGTGCTGTAGAGCTATGGTCTTTACAGAGCAATTTAAATCTAAGAGCTTATCAATCAAGCAAAGGACTGCTTCAAGTGGGTGATTAAGCCTGAGCAGGGGCTCCATTCTGGCATCTAGGAGGCACCTGAGTGTGCACTGACTGCATTCCTTTGACTTGATTTCAACACATTTAATAGAGTCTCAGAAGACAGGAAATCCATCATGATGGTAAAAGGGACATTTTGTGTGAATTGGAGGGCTGCCTTTATGTCCTAATACAAGTGTGTGTGTGTGTGTGTGTGTGTGTGTGTGTGATAATTGTGTGATAATTGTGTGGGGAAAACAGCCTTACCATACCACACAAATGCACACACACACACACGCACACACACACACACACACACACACACACACACACACACACACACACACTCGAGGGAAATGGGGTAATCTATAGTTAGAGTGAGAGTGATAGCATCAAGCCTATTTTCGAGACACAAGCACTCGAGACTGTCGACAGGATTCATACAGCAATCTCATTGGGAAATGCCACTGCTAACTGAGAGAGATTGCTAACCTTCTCCTACACACTGCTGATGCAGAAACATGTCTCTCCCTCTTCTCCTTCAACTCTAAATTCAGACTGTCAACACTCCTAAGAGGTGTCTGGTATCTGACAGGCAGAATTATTTCCAATTTCACCTGAATATGCTTGTGTTTAAAGCCAAGTTGAGTAAACATAGTATTCTATATCCTAAATGAAGGGTGTGATCTAATTCCTTGTCCTAAGGGTATGATCGAGTTCTAATTCCTAATTCTAAGGGTGTGATAAAGTTCTAATTCCTCATTCTAAGGGTGTGATCGAGTTCTAATTCCTCATTCTAAGGGTGTGATCGAGTTCTAATTCCTCATTCTAAGGGTGTGATCGAGTTCTAATTCCTAATTCTAAGGGTGTGATCGAGTTCTAATTCCTAATTCTAAGGGTGTGATAGAGTTCTAATTCTTAGTTCTAAGGGTGTGATAGAGTTCTAATTCTTAGTTCTAAGGGTGTGATAGTCTAACTCAGACACAAACACAGCATTAGAAGTCCCTCCTCCACAGCTGCAGTCATTAGTGAATGTAGAGTAATACATTTGCATGAGTGGAAATCTACAGATCACCCCTAGCCTACTGCACAACGATTCTCATCGGTTAGAACAATAATTCATTAAACTATATCTTAAAGTAACTGTCCAGTGTTCTATGAAATAAACTACATGACCAAAGTATATGGACACCTGCTCGTAGAACATCTCATTCCAAAATCATGCGCATTAATATGGAGTTGGTCCCCCTATTTCTGTATGGACCTTGCTTTGTGCACAGGGGCATTGTCATGCTGAAACAGGAAAGGGCCTTCCCCAAACTGTTGCCACAAAGTTGGAAGCACAGAATCGTCTAGAATGTCATTGTATGCTGTAATGTTAAGATTTCCCTTCATTGCAACTAAGGGGCCTAGCCCGAACCATGAACAACAGCTCCAGACCATTATTCCTCTTCCACCAAACTTTACAGTTGGCAGGTAGTGTTTTCCTGGCATCCGCCAAACCTAGATTAGTCCGTCGGACTGCCAGATGGTGAAGCGTGATTCATCACTCCAGAGAATGCGTTTCCACTACTCCAGAGTCCAATGGCGGCGAACTTTACACCACTCCAGCCGACGTTTGGCGTTGCACATGGTGATGTTAGGCTTGTGTGCGGCTGCTTGGCCATGGAAACCCATTTTATGAAGCTCCTGACGAACAGTTCTTGTGCTGACGTTGCTTCCAGAGGCAGTTTGGAACTCGGTAGTGAGTGTTGCAACCGAGGACAGACAATTTTTATGGCCTACGCGTTTTAGCACTCGGTAGTCCCGTTCTGTGAGCTTGTTTGGCCTATCACTTCGCGGCTGAGCCGACATTCTAGACGATTCTGTGCTTCCAACTTTGTAGCAACAGTTTGGGGAAGGCCCGTTCCTGTTTCAGCATGACAATGCCCCCGTGCATAAAGCGAGGTCGACACAGAAATGGTTTGTCGAGATCGGTGTGGAAGAACTTGACTGGCCTGCACAGAGCCCTGACCTCAACCTCATTGAACACCTTTGGGATGAATTGCAACGCCGACAGTGCCCGACCTCACTAATGCTCTTGTGGCTGAATGGAAGGAAGTCCCCGCAACAATGTTCCAACCTCTAGTGGAAAGCCTTCCCAGAAGAGTGGAGGCTGTTATAGCAGCAAAGGGTGGACCAACTCCATATTAATGCCCATGATTTTGGAATGAGATGTTCGACGAGCAGGTATCCACATACTTTTGGTAATGTAGTGTTTACAAAATGAGATAAATACTTTTCCTTCGAAAATGTTTTTATTAAATATGTTAAAAGCAGCTTTTCTGTGTTGGAATGGTGTGGAATGGTGTGGGCGTATTCTGGTCATTAATAATATTAATGCGAATAGACTGCTCATTGGCCAGCTCAGCCAATGAGGCAGGATATAGGCAGGGAATAGCAAACATTTTTGAAATGGTCTGTTTGAGATACAAGTTTGAGGTGGGGTTTTTTCACTGTTTTTTCTCCAACTTATGTGTTAGCTACAAATACGAGTCAACAACATTATTTGGGTATGAGGTAACAGAATATGAACTGAAGTTTTCACTGGACAGTTACTTTAATACTAATTGTACCTCTTGGACATTATTTAGCACCCTCTTTCAGACTATGTGACCAGTCAGCTTGTCCCTCTTTTAAAGTCAGAGAGGTATCTAGAGGAATACTTCAAAGCCTCCACCACAGCCATCCCTTAGAGTTGGTTACTGCTCTCTGAACTCCGACCTCTCACTCTCCTCCCTTTCATCCCTCCACCCTCCCTACTCCAGTCAGGCACCTCTGATGTGAGAGAAAGGCCCAGTCAGAGAGCCGCTGGCCCAGAAAGAGACTTGGCCCCGGTCAGAGATCAATACAAGCACAGTCTCAATGTGCCTCTCTCTCTCCTTCAACAGCCCCAACCTTCATCCTTTATACCCTCCATCCGGTGCAGGGTGAATGGGACAGACAGAGAGAGACAGAGAAACAGACAAAGAGACGCAGACAAACAGACAGACAAACAGACAGAGCAGGTAGGCCTGTGTACTGCAGTAGCGACATGTGGGCCTCTTTATTATAGATGCTGCTGATAAGACAAGAGTCTATGATTCATCTGTCTGGACGGGACAGGCTGCTTGGCATCAATACTGACTATGTGGGACATTAACACCCACAAAACATGATTGATATAGCAGCAGATATGCACCACACTACTATGTTCCCCTTCATTTAAAGGAAAACTCCACCCCAAAACTATATTTTGCCATTTGTTTCATTAGTCCATTGTTGACATAGTCCCAAAATGTTTTGCTTGTCAGCAATCAAGTTTCCAAGATATGTAACTTTCAAAATACAGAAATCATCCCTGTATGATGCACAATTTTCCTTTAAGACTTGAATATTCACAGCGGACTGCAGTGACGGGATCCAGCCATCTATTATTCACTTCATGTCAACAAAACAGCTCTACTGTAAGAGCGCTGCCCTGGAGTTGGGGAGATAGGGAAGTTGGCATTTCCAATGTGAAATTTCTCACATAATAGACATTTTCTGATGCCAAGCTGATGGTGCGCTGATGGTGCCTGGTGGTCTCACCAATCCCTTTCAAACACCCTGGAGATTTACAGGACATAGACCAGGGGTAGTCAACCCGGTCCTGGACTGCTGCAGCACTTTGTGTGTTTGATTTAACCGACCTGGAAGACCAGGTGTGTTGAATTTAGTCAGTTGGTCAGTGAGTCGTTCAGTCTGCCTGTGTGCTGGCTTGCCTGCCAAACACAACTGACCAGATGGAGATGGGAGTCTGCAGAGCTCTGATGTCTACTGAGCAAAACTGCACAGGCACAGAGAGAAGCAGAGGGGGCAGGAGATACAGACCCCATACAGCCAGCCAGCTAGCCCAGGCAGACTCACCTGACACTCAGCTATCTCAGAGGGCTATGTCCTCCTCTCCCTCCTCCCCTCTCCCCCCTTCTCTCTCTCTCCCCTCCCCTCCCCTCCCCTTCCCTATGCATCCTACACTTCCCTCAGCTCAGATAGACCCAGTCCCTAAGGCCAGGTCTTTCAGTGCACTGCAGTGTGCTGTAGATATATCCAACCTGGTCTCAGAGCATTTCGTATTATTCTGTACATAAATCTGAGACACTCCATTTAGTATGATATGTTACGTTTTATATGGTTACATAAGACAGCTGGTTACTTAAGGCAAAAACAAAAGGAGGGTGGGCGTATAACGCAAACGTCTAGAAACCCAAAGGTTGAGAGTTCATATCTCATCACGGACAACTTTAGCATTTTAGCTAATTAGCAACTTTTCAACTACTTACTATTTTTTAGCTACTTTGCACCTACTAAGCATGTTAGCTAACCTTTCCCCAAACCCTAACCTTAACCCTTTTAGCTAACCCTTCACCTAACCCTAACCTTAACCCTTTTAGCTAACCCTTCCCCTAACCCTAACCTTAACCCTTTTAGCTAACCCTTCCCCTAACCCTAACCTTAACCCTTTTAGCTAACCCTTCCCCTAACCCTAACCTTAACCCTTTTAGCTAACCCTTCCCCTAACCTTAACCCTTTAACCTAACTCCAAGATAGCTAAACCCTTTTCTTAAACTCAGGGCAGTGAGAGAAAAAGCTCATGAAAGCAATTGAACATGTTTAATTCACTCACAAACTTCATCTGAAATGTTCAGTATTTATAATTTTAAACCCAAGAACATGTTTTAGAACAGTAATCGCAGTAATAAATACGCTAACATCATTGCTATTGCTAGCTAGATAGCTAGCTAAAACGGTTGCCTAGCAACATACATCTTAAGAAGATTTGTAAGAAGATATTTGAGAAGTTCGTAAGAAAATCATTAAATCTTAAGATATTGTTGAGGAATTGCACTTACAAACTATTTTATGAACTTCATATTTTTTTTCTTAAGAATCTTCTTACATTTTTGCATAAGAAGTGTTTTGTGAATCTGGGCCCTGGTTGATATATCCCTGTTCACAACACTACCACCCACTCACTGACAATGAACTGTGGCCTTTTAACTCTCCAATGACATATAGGCAACTGTATGCAGGAAATTCCCTTCATACAATTCTTCAAAAGGAACAATGAAGGATAGAGCGTATTATTGGGTTAGTGTTAGTTTTTATGCCATGTTAGCTATTGTCAAGCTGTCTATTACTGTCACTGTTAATCAAGTCTTAGGGCTACACCACAGCAGGGTGATTGATAGGGACTATGTAGATGGTCTAATGTGTGCATGTTAAATTACATTAATTTCAGTTTTATTAAAATATAGGTAGCTTAATAAAAGTCTGCAACATTCAGCATTTATTTTAGCCTAGTAGTGAACGCTAAAATAGACATAATGATGTTATTTCAACACAAAATAAACTGCTATAATGAGATCAGCTATACTCACACAAAATAAATTGCTATGATGAGATCAGCTCTACTCACACAATATGAACTGCTATAATGAGATCAGCTCTACTCACACAAAATAAACTGCTATGATGAGATCAGCTCTACTCACACAAAATAAACTGCTATGATGAGATCAGCTCTACTCACACAAAATAAACTACTATGATGAGATCAGCTCTACTCACACAAAATAAACTGCTATAATGAGATCAGCTCTACTCACACAAAATAAACTGCTATGATGAGATCAGCTCTACTCACACAAAATAAACTGCTATGATGAGATCAGCTCTACTCACACAATATTAACTGCTATAATGAGATCAGCTCTCCTTACACAAAATAAACTGCTATGATGAGATCAGCTCTACTCACACAAAATAAACTGCTATGATGAGATCAGCTCTACTCACACAAAATAAACTGCTATGATGAGATCAGCTCTACTCACACAAAATAAACTGCTATGATGAGATCAGCTCTACTCACACAAAATAAACTGCTATGATGAGATCAGCTCTACTCACACAAAATAAACTGCTATGATGAGATCAGCTCTACTCACACAAAATAAACTGCTATGATGAGATCAGCTCTACTCACACAAAATAAAAGCTAAACAATATAGGCTACAATATAAGGAGACACCACGATTACATGATGCAATGCACGGAAACACTAAGACAGAAATGTCTAGATAATCTATGTTAACCTATTTACACTGATCTTATTCCAATGAAATATATTTCAGGGAGTATCACACAGCGAGAGGCGTGCTCTACCTCGCATGCAACAGATCCGCATTATCCCCAGCTTGGCCTTGCTTGCTGTGCGTGAGCCACACTGCCTCCCATGGCGAGCCGCCGCTTACCTGAGCTGTCCATGGTGCTGCAGTCGTTCTCCCGCAGTGGGCCTGCCTTCGGTCCTCCTAGGGTTGCTGCTGATACCAAGCCTCCGCCGATTCCGCTGCGTCTCCCTCCTCCGTTATTGACGCCTCCGCTGCTATCGACCAACTGTAAAGATTCATAGCCATCGTAACTGCAGGGCTTTTTCTTATAGCCACCCAGTAGGCTCATCTCATGAGCTCTGCGCCGTGGATTTGAGAATTACATTTAAAAAACAACTACTGAATGGCGTGAATGCACATATTCCGGACAATAAATCTCAGATATCTGCTTAGAAATAATCCACCAGAAATGCGTTAGCAGTTCCAGCACCGTCTCCCCCTGTTTTCTTTTCTCCAGGATATCAAGAGCAGGACGCTGTCATCAGGACCGTATTTACTACACTGCACATCGAAGGTTGCTCTGGCTGCCAGTCCCAGTTGAGTTAATGGCTTTCTGCTGGCTCCAAGCCAATCCTGACAATATCATGCCGGCAGTAGGTGACTAAAGGATCGCCTGATCTCCTGTTTCGTGGTTATTTATTTACAAAGCAGTAATATTTGTCCGAAAATAGACATTCATGTTGAATAGGCTGATTTGATGATAGACAACTGGATATCCTACATAGGATTATTTACTATTCTATTCTGTTCTATATGAAAATATTCACAAATCTATTTCTAATAACATATTTTAACAGCCTACAGTAGTTAACAAAATATCTTCATATGCTCATAATTAATTATAAGGGTTAAATCAACAATACAAACCATTTCAGTTTCTTAGAAGCTACATAGGCAACAGTCTCCATTGCTAATAGGCTATAATTCAAGCCATGTATGGGCCTGCTGTAGGCTCTACAGTATAGCTCCTCCACAGGAGGATAATAAAGGAATTAAAGTGCTGAAGTCTTTTAGTCAGCACTGTAGGACAGCATAGTGCTTTGTCAGGGAGGGGGAGCACTTCAGTCAGTTGATAACTAAAGATCTAGACTCTCCCCCTAGCCTCCACAAAAGGAGAACCCCACCCCAGCCCTCACAAAAAGAGATCCCACAAATGGCACCATATTGCCCATAGACCTCTGGTCAAAATGGCCCATGGTCAAAAGCAGTGGCGTAAAGTACTTAAGCAAAAATACTTTAAAGTACTACTAAAGTAGTTTTTTTTGGGTATCTTTACTCTACTATTTATATTTCTTGATAACTTTTACTTTTACTTCATTACATTCCTAAAGAAAATATGTACTTTTTACTCCATACATTTTCCCTGACACACAAAAGTACTCATTACTTTTCGAATGCTCATGCAGGACAGCAATATCGTCCAATTCACACATCTATCAATATAACGCGTTGTCATCCCTGCTGCCGCTGATCTGGCGGACTCACTAAACACAAATATTGCGTTTGTAAATTATGTCTGAGTGTTGGAGTGTGTGCCTCGCTGTCCATAAATAAAAATAACTAGAAAATTGTGCCGTCTGGTTTGCTTAATATGTGACTCGTTTCAGGAAACTAGGCGTATGTCACACGTCACTACTTCACAGGAGCGCCATTTGAATGTAAACTGTTTTAAAAAATCAAAATGCGTTCTGGAATATGTGAACTTTCATGTGCCTTAATAACAAACTTGTATGCCATCTGTAAATACGAATAAAATTGTTAAATTACGAGCCTAGTTGGTTTAGCCATGGAAAAAGACAGCAACTTTCCCGCTAGCCATGATTGGCTGAGATAATGAGCGGGCTAGACATGCCAAGAGATGAGTTCGGATTGGTCTGCCATGTAGCACGCTTCTGTCTATAATATGAGCTGGTCAGTATGTGTAGGTCATCGTTTCTAATGCGGCTTTTTTTTAAAGATATCACGTAGTAGAACTGCATAAGTGTTGCTCTCCACTTTCTGGAGGACCGAGTTTTGAAATCAGTGGAATTAGAGTATGATAGCTAAGGAGATGTAAATATTCTGGTTTTTGATTGCAAATATGCAGAGTTTGAAAAGAGAACACTGAAGGCTCTGGATTACATCTTCAAACTAAGGGCAACCATGGCATCCGTGACAGAGAGGGAGAAGCGTCCATCCATGTATATAGGTAAGAGAGTCTAGCTAGCTACATTTTCAGATATTACACATTTCTAATTTTGTCAGAAAGTCATTTTCATTTCAAGTTAAAATGTACTGTTAGCTAGCTAGCTAATGTTAGCTGGCTGGCTAGCTAGCTAACATTACGTGTATGATCTGTATAGTAATATTATTTGTATCTCAGAGCCATTTGCATTGCTAGTTATAGCCTAACGTTAGCTAGCTAACATTGAACCTGGTTGGTTAGCTACCTGCAGATTCATGCAGGGTAGTAACGTTATGAGTTTGGATTATGGTTAATTGTTTAGCTAGCTAGCTACATGTCTAAACAAAGACTCCACTATGCAAGTAACTATTTTAATAGAATGTTTATGATGTCACTGCGACAACTGTTGATAGACGTAGCTGGTAAATTCGCTCTGGCTATCTACTCCGATTTCAGAGCACTCTCGTCTGAGTGTGCCAGAGCGCAGAATAACTGACGAATTTACGAACGCTCAACACCCGTTGAATATGGCCGGTGTCAGTAAACGTTGGGAAAAAAAGCTTTATTAAATTGTTGCCAGCAGCACAGTTGCAGTCACCAATGCTCTGGATAACATAAAAACAGCCTAACCAGCTCTGCTAGGGCGAGTAAAATGGTCAGAGTGAGCTGTTCTCTCATTTGTGTCTGGAAGTAGCTAGCAAGCTAGCCAACATTAGCCAGTTAGCTTGGGTGCTTGACTCTGTTGTTAGGTCAGAACGCTCGGATCAACCCTACTTTTCGGCCAGAGCGTCCAGTGTGTGCTCCGAATTCACGAAGGGCCAATCTGACAACGCTCTGAGTTTACGAACACCCAGAGCACACTCTGGCACGAAGTGTGGACAAATTCGTTGTTTTATTGAAAGCGTACAGCCAAATTAGCTATTTTTGTCAAAAGTACATTTGAGATTATTTTATATCATTATTTTATGTAGCCGACTGCCACAGCAGCGGAGATGGGTAACAACTGCACATGTGCGCTCTCTGGGAATCGCTGCTACGTAGAAACTGCACTTTAGACCCTTCACATATGCACGTTTTTTTCGGCTGAGAAGTGAAAACATTGTTACACATTAGTTATACAAAGTAAACAACAACCTACAAATATGTCTGACGGCGAAATACTCGCGAGTGATGAAGAAAACTACTAGAGGGGCGCCGATGGTCTCGTCGTGATTTGAACCTGAGTATTCAGATTAAGAAGTTAGGCAAATTGAGCTTCAGATGGCCGCCGCCCTCTAGCTACCGAAGCTGCAGCAATAGCTGGACCACAGCCCCAACCCAACCCCAGGATCAACACAGACTGGTGGTGTAGTTGGAATGTTTGTGCTGCAGAGAATTCGAATATGTGACTACATTTATTACAAAAATGGAGGAACGTAATGATGATGAGGAGCAGTTAGTTTGCTTTTGCGACCAAGGGGATTTTGCTGCACACTTTTCCATATTCCAAAAACGAATTGGAAACTCATCCCTGTTTCACCTGGGCCAAATGGACAGTTATCTAACAAGTAAGTAGCAACTTTACTTTATTGAATGATCGCTTATGATAAACCTCTATGAGCGGAACTGTTAGTGGGTTTATGTTTTCACATTAGCCCAAAACACTATATAGCCTATGTTTATTTAGCACAATGTTTTGGGGGTATTCTATTCTGCAATGAAAGGTGACTCAATGTCTATTGTCTCTCAACCCCCCCCCCCCCTGTCATAAATACATATGGCACATATGCTAACCTGTAGAGTACCTAGGTCTCTATGTCTACATGATATGATGCAATAAGAACACCGCGAACTTAAAGAATAAGGCTAGGCTACATACCTCCGCGCGCTTGCTTTGTCACTTTGTCTTCTCAAACGCGCCTTTGTATTTTGGCACTGCTCCAGACCCAGTCCATGGACATACAGTAGCAACAGCTGTATCTTAGCTTCCTTCGGTTTTCTGTCCCATTAATTTCAGTTTGCATATCTCGTTCCTATGCATCGTCGCTGAAGTGCTTGCTACACATACGCAGCAATGCAAGTTTGGCTGCAGGAGTATTTACATCGTATTTACTCATTCCAAATGCTACTAAAACTAACCATCTTCTGCATCTCTCCATATCTTTTATCTGAAAACTGTGACATTTGGTGGCTTCTTCCTTTTATTTCCTGTATAAAGTGCAGCCAGGAACCGAACACCAGCTTGCTCTTGCTGACATCTCTTTTTCTACTTTGCGTACCTATCAGCGAAATGCCTAACTATATCAACTTTACCTGCGATAGGCCTAACTATATCAACTTTACTGTCAAAAGGGGTGATGTGTACGTGGCAGTGAAGTCAGGCGCAGGACACAGAGAAACAGGATGACTATTTTACTTAAAGTTAACACGCACAAACAAAAGTCTCCACAACACTGGAGGAGTAACATACTCTGTGCGTAAAAGGCGAACTAGGTATGCCGAACATCAACAAGACAAAAAGACAATAACACACAAAGGCCAAACGTAAAACAAGGGAACTTTATATGTTACACAATCAACACAAAATAAGCAACAGGTGTACAAACTAGACAACACAAGACAAACACCGAAAACATCGATCGGCAGTAGCTAGTACTCCGGGGACGACGAACGCCGAAGCCTGCCCGAACAAGGAGGAGGAGCAGCCTCGGCGGAATCCGTGACATTTACCTGCGATATGCCTAACTATATCAACTTTACCTGCGATATGCCTAACTATATCAACTTTAGCTGCGATATGCCTAACTATATCAACTTTACCTGCGATATGCCTAACTATATCAACTTTACCTGCGATATGCCTAACTATATCAACTTTACCTGCGATATACCTAACTATATCAACTTTACTGTCACGCCCTGACTCTGAGGACTTGTATTTGTTGAGTCAGGGTGTGTATTTTCCTGTGTTGATTTCTATGTTTTAGATCTAGCATGTGCAGATCTATGTTGGCCGGGGTGGTTCCCAATCAGAGGCAGCTGTAGCTCGTTGTCTCTGATTGGGGACCATACTTAGGTAGCCTGTTGGCACTAGTGGGTTGTGGGATCTTGTTCCGTTCCGTGTAAGGTATGTTGTTTGTATGCTACCTTGGACTTCACGGTTCGTTTGTTGTTTTGTCGTGTGTTTAGCCGTAAATAAATATGAATGCATATCACGCTGCGCCTTGGTCCTTCTCGTTCATGAACGATCGTGACATTTACCTGCAATATGCCTAACTATATCAACTTTCGCACCAGCTCCTTCTCCTACCAAAAAAACTTGAATCTGTGACATCAAGGGCATATCGTGATATATAAGGGCATATCGTGATGTTGCTACGTAGCAGGGTCTCCCCCCATCTCTGCTGCTCTGGCAGTCGGCTACATAAAATAATGATATAAAATCATCTCAAATGTTTTAGGTGGAAAAGTATACATTTCCTGACTCAAAACCGATAGTACTTTTGACAAAAATAGCTAATTCGGCCATACGCTTTCAATAAAACAACGAATTTGTCCACACTTTGCTGATTTCTGAATCATGAATTCACTGGCAACGGAGCAGAGTGAGGCCTGCATCCAGCAACGTCACAAGTCACGTGACCCGTTTTTGCAGCTGTTTCAGTACAGCACTACAGGGAGAGAGAGGAAAAGAGGGCAAACTCCACTGAACTAGTTTCAATGTATGGAATCACTTGGGAGTTTCTGGATTTTGGGTAAACTTCTCCTTTAAGTACATTTAACACCAGATTCTTTTAGACGTTTACTCAAGTAGTACTTTACTGGGCGACTTTCACTTTTACTTCATTTTCTATTAAGGTATCTTTACTTTTACTCAAGTATGACAATTGGGTACTTTTCCCACCACTGGTCAAAAGTATTACACTATATAGGGAATAGGGTGCCATTTGAAACGCACACCAAGTCAGCTACTTGGCGTTCTGCAACATGCTTCCTTCCTTGGCCCAGTTCCCTGGCAACTGAGGGGCTGCATGGTTGTTCAAAGCAGAACCCGGGCCTGGGAAACCCTTTACAACAGGAGCCCTGGACTGAAAGCACAGCAGGCAAGGGAATGTCCAAAAGGAGAAATGATTCCCCACGTAACCGGATGCAAAGTGCCGCTCTATTGTAGGATTTAGTTTCCTCTGAAAGCTAGCCTCCCAACATCAGACCCCTGATGCACTACTTCAGGAAGTCAACTCCTGCAGTCAGTCTCCAATACAAATGGTTACAATCCTCACTCACTGAGAGGACTGGACTTTGGCATCAAAAGCAATGTAATGTCCTGGCATTGCCGCTTGACCTTTTGACCACTGGTGGTACTATTTTATGTCAATGGTCACACAACTGTGTGATGCAAGAAGGGATCATTTGGATGATGAGAGTGCCCACTGTACTGTACTTGGGATCCAAGTTTGAAAAGCTGAATAAATCACACTGTAATGACAACTACACTTCCACATAATCCAGAATAATGGATAGATAAGCAAATATGAACAAACAGGGAGAGATGATCATAAACCTGCTACATAAAAAATCAAATGACAGCCATTAAAAAAACCTAACTCTATAACCCAGCCTACTCCTACCTGTATTAACTTACTATATAGGTTTAAATGCCACATTGCGTTCCTTCATTCCTTTACAGGAGGGGTTTAACCATTTGGACATGTCTTGAATGTTATTTAAGCACTGTGGGTTAAGGAAGTTGTAGTTTAACAAAGACCTTGTGATGTTTTACAAGACCTTCGCCTCATAAACAGAAGTTTATTTTAGCCTTCCAGCTACGCCTCTTCAAAACCTGCTATACTTCACGATTTTTAAGACTTATAGATATTGAGGACAACAATAGCCTATCTGAATCCAGTCCAGCCATACAGCCATTATCTTCACTATACCTGACTGACCTAAAATAATATTTTCTGCTGGATTCGGTGGATTTGCCATCATATTTAAGGGTGGATAGTGGATTAATGATTATCCCTACTGGTTAAAGCTTTATTGACCCGTGTAATCTGATGGGTAGGGTTAGGGTTCACTGGCAGACACTAGCCTAAATGACTTGATCTGTGTGTAGCCTATTGTCCATGCAGCTGTCGTTTCATTTCAAACTAAATCGATTCTTGCTTAGCCTAATGAAGAATCTCTAAACATCTTTCCAATCATCATCAAAGGAATCATGATGAAATGAAAATAAAACATAGTATTGCCTTGTTGCCATTTGATGCACATTCAAATGTCATAAAAAATCTACCTCTCTTCCTCTCCTCTGCCGTGCCCTGATTGTATTACTGCTGATGCTATCTGGAAATGTGCATGTACACCCTGGCCCATCTACTGTTGCTAGCCCCAATTCTGATTTGTGCTCTGATATCTGCTTCAGTGATTTCTGCTCTCGTAAAAGCCTGGGTTTTCTGCACGTTAACACTAGAAGCTTATTACCTAAAATTGATCAATTGAAAGTGTGGGTTCACAGCTCTAATCCAGATGTGTTGGTCATTACTGAGACGTGGTTAAGAAAGAGTGTTTTGAACACTGATGTTAACCTTTCTGGTTATAACCTTTTTCGGCAAGACAGATCTTCCAAAGGTGGTGGAGTGGCAATCTTTACCAAGGAACACCTTCAGTGCTCGGTTATTTCCACCAAGTCTGTCCCCAAACAATTTGATTTGCCTGTACCCTAAATGCCCTAAGCTCTCTCCTGGCCCCTTACACTAAGTCTGAATTTGTCCTGCTAGGTGACCTAAACTGGGACATGCTTAAACCACCTGACCAAGTCCTAAAGCAATGGGAGTCCCTAAATCTTTCTCAGATTATTACCAATCCCACAAGGAAGGTATGACTCCAAACACCCAGAAAAGGCTACTCTCCTTGATGTTATCCTCACAAATAATCCTGATACAGTGGGGGAAAAAAGTATTTAGTCAGCCACCAATTGTGCAAGTTCTCCCACTTAAAAAGATGAGAGAGGCCTGTAATTTTCATCATAGGTACACGTCAACTATGACAGACAAAATGAGAAGAAAAAAATCCAGAAAAACACATTGTAGGATTTTTTATGAATTTATTAGCAAATTATGGTGGAAAATAAGTATTTGGTCAATAACAAAAGTTTCTCAATACTTTGTTATATACCCTTTGTTGGCAATGACACAGGTCAAACGTTTTCTGTAAGTCTTCACAAGGTTTTCACACACTGTTGCTGGTATTTTGGCCCATTCCTCCATGCAGATCTCCTATAGAGCAGTGATGTTTTGGGGCTGTCGCTGGGCAACACGGACTTTCAACTCCCTCCAAAGATTTTCTATGGGGTTGAGATCTGGAGACTGGCTAGGCCACTCCAGGACCTTGAAATGCTTCTTACGAAGCCACTCCTTCGGCGGTGTGTTTGGGATCATTGTCATGCTGAAAGACCCAGCCACGTTTCATCTTCAATGCCCTTGCTGATGGAAGGAGGTTTTCACTCAAAATCTCACGATACATGGCCCCATTCATTCTTTCCTTTACACGGATCAGTCGTCCTGGTCCCTTTGCAGAAAAACAGCCCCAAAGCATGATGTTTCCACCCCCATGCTTCACAGTAGGTATGGTGTTCTTTGAATGTAACTCAGCATTCTTTGTCCTCCAAACACGACGAGTTGAGTTTTTACCAAAAAGTTATATTTTGGTTTCATCTGACCATATGACATTCTCCCAATCCTCTTCTGGATCAGGTGTCTGGACAGGTGTCTTTTATACTGATAACAAGTTCAAACAGGTGCCATTAATACAGGTAACGAGTGAAGGACAAAGGAGCCTCTTAAAGAAGAAGTTACAGGTCTGTGAGAGCCAGAAATCTTGCTTGTTTGTAGGTGACCAAATACTTATTTTCCACCATAATTTGCAAATAAATTCATAAGAAATCCTACAATGTGATTTTCTGGAATTTTTTTTCTCATTTTGTCTGTCATAGTTGATGTGTACCTATGATGAAAATTACAGGCCTCTCTCATCTTTTTAAGTGGGAGAACTTGCACAATTGGTGGCTGACTAAATACTTTTTTCCCCCACTGTAGGTATCAGTCTGGTGTTTTCTGTAATGGCCTTAGTGATCACTGTTTTACAGCCTGTGTTCGTAATGGCTGCTCAGTGAAACGACCTGTCCTTATTTGTCATAGACACTTGCTAAAAAACTTTAATGAGCAAGCCTTCCTTCATGACCTGGCCTCTGTAAATTGGTATAGAATCAGCTTGATCCCCTCTGTCGAAGACACTTGGACCTTCCTTTTTGATATTTTTAGTGGTATTGTTAACAAACACAAAGAAAATAAGAATAAAAAACAGGTTCAGCCCCTGGTTCGACCGTGATCTGGCAGAGTTACTCCACCTCAACAATTCCATTTGGCGAAATGCTCGGCACACGCATACTCAGGCTGACTGGCTCTCGTTCAGGCAAATGAGAAATAAGTGCACTCAGGCTATCCGGAAGGCCAATGTGAGTTACTTTAAGGAGCAGTTCTCTCTCTGTGGGTCTAACCCCAAGAAGTTCTGGAAAACGGTTAAAGACCTGGAGAATAAATCCTCATCCTCACAGCTGCCCATGTCCCTTAATGTTGATGATGTGGTTGTTACTGACAAGGAGAACATGGCTGAGCTCTTTAATCACCACTTCATTAAGTCAGGATTCCTATTTGACTCAGCCATGCCTCCTTGCCCGTCCAACATTTCCTCATCTCCCACCCCTTCTAATGCGACTAGCCCCGATGCTCCTACCTCTTTTCCCCTTGCCCCGCTACAAAGTTTCTCCCTGCAGGCGGTCACTGAGTCTGAGGTGCTAAGGGAGCTCCTTAAACTTGACCCCAAAAAACGATCTGGGTTAAATGGTTTAGACCCTTTCTTCTTTAAGGTTGCTGCCCCTATCATCGCCAAGCCTATCTCTGACATTTTCAACCTGTCTCTCCTCTCTGGGGAGGTTCCCATTGCTTGGAAGGCAGCCACGGTGTGTCCTTTATTTAAAGGGGGAGATCAAGCTGATCCTAACTGTTATAGGCCAATTTCTATTTTGCCCTGTTAATCAAAAGTGTTGGAAAAACTTGTCAATAATCAACTGACTGGCTTTCTTGATGTCTATAGTATTCTTTCTGGTATGCAATCTGGTTTCTGCTCAGGTTATGGATGTGTCACTGCAACCTTAAAGGTCCTAAATGATGTCACCATTGTCCTTGATTCTAAGCAATGTTATGCTGCTATTTTTATTGACTTGGCCAAAGCTTTTGATACGGTAGACCATTCCATTCTTGTGGGCCGGCTAAGGAGTATTGGTGTCTCTGAGGGGTCTTTGGCCTGGTTTGCTAACTACCTCTCTCAAAGAGTGCAGTGTATAAAGTCAGAACATCTGCTGTCTCAGCCACTGCCTGTCACCAAGGGAATACCCCAAGGCTTGATTCTAGGCCCCACACTCTTCTCAATTTACATCAACAACATAGCTCAGGCAGTCGGAAGCACTCTCATCCATTTATATGCAGATGATACAGTCTTATACTCAGCTGGCCCCTCCCCAGATTTTGTGTTAAACGTTCTACAACAAAGCTTTCTTAGTGTCCAACAAGCTTTCCCTGTCCTTAACCTTGTTCTGAACACCTCCAAAACAAAGGTCATGTGGTTTGGCAAGAAGAATGCCCCTCTCCCCACCAGTGTGATTACTATCTCTGAGGGTTTAGAGCTTGAGGTAGTCACCTCATACAAGTACTTGGGAGTATGGCTAGACGGTACACTGTCCTTCTCTCAGCACATATCAAAGCTGCAGGCTAAGGTTAAATCTAGACTTGGTTTCCTCTATCGTAATCACTCCTCTTTCACCCCAGCTGCCAAACTAACCCTGATTCAGATGACCATCCTACCCATGCTAGATTACGGAGACGGCAGGTAGCTTAGTGGTTAAGAGCGACCGAAAGGTCGCTGGTTCTAATCCCTGAGCCGACTAGGTGAAAAATCTGTCGATGTGCCCTTGAGCAAGGCACTTAACCCTAATTGCTCCTGTAAGTCGCCCTGGATAAGAGCGTCTGCTAAATGACTTAAAATGTAAATGTAAAATGTTATAGATCGGCAGGTAAGGGTGCTCTCGAGCGGCTAGATGTTCTTTACCATTCAGCCATCAGATTTGCCACCAATGCTCCTTATAGGACACATCACTGCACTCTATACTCCTCTGTAAACTGGTCATCTCTGTATACCCGTCGCAAGACCCACTGGTTGAAGCTTATTTATAAAACCCTCATAAGCCTCACTCCCCCCTATCTGAGATACCTACTGCAGCCCTCATCCTCCACATACAACACCCGTTCTGCCAGTCACATTCTGTTAAAGGTCCCCAAAGCACACACATCCATGGGTCGCTCCTCTTTTCAGTTCGCTGCAGCTAGCGACTGGAACGAGGTGCAAAAAATACTCAAACTGGACAGTTTTATCTCCATCTCTTCATTCAATGACTCAATCATGGACACTCTTACTGACAGTTGTGGCTGCTTCGTGTGATGTATTGTTGTCTCTACCTTCTTGCCCTTTGTGCTGTTGTCTGTGCCCAATAATGTTTGTACCATGTTTTGTTCTGCTACCATGTTGTGCTGCTGCCATGTTGTGTTGCTACCATGTTGTTGTCATGTTGTGTTGTCCATGCTGTGTTGTCATGTGTTGCTGCCATGCTATGTGGTTGGCTTAGGTCTCTCTTTATGTAGTGTTGTGGTTTCTCTCTTGTCGTGATGTGTGTTTTGTCCTATATTTTATTTATTTATTTTTTATCCCCCGTCACCGCTGCAGGAGGCCTTTTGCCTATTTGGTAGGCCATCATTGTAAATAAGAATTTGTTCTTAACTGACTTGCCTAGTTAAATAAAGGTTAAATAAAATAAAATAAAAATACGCTATATATCACAACCCACTGGGCACAGAAGTCAATTCGATGTCTATTCCACGTTGGTTCAACATAATTTCGTTGAAATGACATGGAAACAACATTGATTCAACCAGTGTGTGCCCAGTGGGAAATTAATCTATCAAGATGTATAGTGAATTTATGCATAAGATAAATATGCTCTTGTAAGTCGCTCTGGATAAGAGCGTCTGCTAAATGACTAAAAATGTAAATGTAAAATGTAAAAGGGTGATAAATCAAGTTTAGCCTACATGTGGTCAATTGCTCTTAATTAGCCTATAGGCAAGTAATATCAATACATCATATTAATAAGCTATTACACTAACACCTGCACTGAAAAATGTAGTTCTGAATTTATCTAGTTTCGATAATATAATGTCATCGTCAGTATTAACGGTTTTACTAGTCTGGTATGAAACAGAAACCACGCATCTCATCATGTGACAAGACCGTGCAGCATTGGAGAGGAGGCGGCACGACACTGCCACAATATGAAACACCAGAACTGGCCATCGCTTCAGCACCTGGATCATGCATGGGATTTCCCTACAATTTTTTCCTCATCAAAATCCACTTCCCTTTAAATCTGAGCGTAATAATTCATTTAAGAATGATAGCAAATAATTAGTAGCCTATTTAGTTGGTTTCTCTGTATTGTTGTCGTCTTCTTCAACCTGCCCCTCCACTGCCAGCTGCCAGCCTCCAGTAAACGCGCATTCAGCAACATGAATCATCCCCGGCAAAGCCAGCTTTTTCTTTTTTTACTTAGCATGTAATTTTCCATTTGGATGAGTCAGTGACTATAAACTATGAGAATGATCAACTAAACACATATTACATATTTGAGGGTTTCCCCCCATTTAAAATAGTCAATTATTAATAATCTCAGATCATGTCAAAAAATCCCCCCTGGTCATATTTGTCATTCAGTGCGCTTAGAATGTTGGTTGGTTAGGCTACGGCGGTTTCACCATTCATATGAGTGCACGTTTTTGGCTCATAATTATTAACAGATACATAAAAAAGCTTAAAGCATCAACATGATAGGTTCTGTTAAACGTCATACAGAGGCTGAGCGCATCGGGCTATGTTTTCCCATCGTTCCGCATTTCCTCGCCTAAAGATAGGCCTGTAACCTGACAAAACACCTGCACTGAAAATTGAACCAAACATAATCGATGCTATGGGATATTCAAATCTCAAATATTATGGTAAAAACGCAGATAGATTTCTACTGATTGCCAAACCATGATATGCAGAAAATCTGTATGCAGATCTAGCCAACTGAATTCCTGGGGCAGAGAAGAGAATCATTATGTAATATTCAAATCTAATCGGGGAGAAACACATGATGACGATGCTCCTCCGAAGCAAACATTTCAGTGGCATTTGATATAAAACGTATCTGGTTTAAAACGAATTATGTAAAAATACAGCCCGTTTGTCATACCTTTCAGAGCGCTCGCTGTCATTATCTCTGGAACGCGACGTCCTCAGCTTTGGAGATCCGCGCGGGGACCCCAGCTGCGCTCTGAGAAATACCAACCTTTGATTTTTCATTCGCCGCCGTACCAGTCAAAGGTCAAACGACCGATACGTCCTTCTGTACCTCAACCTGGCGGTGCACGCGTGACAGGTACAATGTCAGCTCCTGCGGTTGGCTAAAATTATAATGACTAATGACTACGACATCATCATATTTTCACCTTATATTTAATGTGAGCTTCACTGAAACGAATCCAGCGACCACAATTCGCTGATCTAACAACAATATGAAGCCGCCTATCCATGTGAGCTCAAGTGTTCCAGATGTCACATAGATCCATATGGTGGAAACTGCGCAGTTTTGCGCCTCTGAATGCTGCCTACACAGCGCATCAAGTCTTGCTGTAGCCTACTAATAAGACATATGGAAGCAAAATCTGGGAAGGAATTTGGGGACTGGACTGGATAGATTGAAATTAAATTCACTCACATGTGCGGATCATGTAATAACCTAGTTGCTGCTATGACAGGAGGCTGAGATGATGGTAGGTGATGTGCTGCAGAGGCAGATGCAGAGGCAAGAGCTTTGGTTTGATTGTTGTGGGTACCATATCAGATGTATGGTACTGGTACATCCAATAAGAAGGAGATATTTGGTAGCTGAGACAGTTTATTTTGGTATCCAGCAAATATACATGGGTTTTATCATAGAGCTTACTGGATATATTTCCTATGTGTATCTAGAGATCCCTCTTGAATCCCCCTCCATGCAAAAGGAAATGGTTGAGTCTGGCCTAAACAGAGCAGAGGCCATCAGGCTCCATAATCCCGGGCTGAAATCCACTCTGGGTGTTCCTCCCCAGCCGTAATGCACATGGGATTTACAGAGCCAACCCTGGTGGGGGATTAAAAGAGAGAGAGTAGTGAAAAATACCTCCCTCTCAGGGTTCACTTACTTACTGCAACACATACACGTGCGCACGCAGGCAGGCATGAACACACGCAGACACACAGGTACGCACGCAAACACATACATGTGCACACACACACGCCTACCTCTCACTGCTCGCTTCTCTGATGTCATATCAAAGGCTGTATTGAGAAAGAGAGAGAGAGAGAGAGAGAGGAGAGAGAGAGAGAGAGAGAGAGAGAGAGAGAGAGAGAGAGAGAGAGAGAGAGAGAGAGAGAGAGAGAGAGAGAGAGAGAGAGAGAGAGAGAGAGAGAGAGAGAGAAAGGGAGGGAGGGAGATTGTGCTGTAACTCTTATGAGTTCTGTCACATTATACTGCATTAGCATGCATGGTGGACTGGATACATACAGATGCTGCATCACTGCAGTATGCCTATAGAGTTCTATGATAGCATATCTAATATGTTAGCAATGGCGTTCCCACACACGACTCACAGTAGAAACTCATCAGTCTCCTATACAGTGCCTTCAGAAAGTAGTCATACACCTCCCGAGTGGCGGAGCGGTCTAAGGCACTGCATCGCAGTGCTTGAGGCGTCACTACAGACACAGGTTAAATCCCAGCGCAGCTTACTGCGAACCGGGAGACCCGTGAGACGGTGCACAATTGGCCCAGCATCGTCCGGGTTAGGGGAGGGTTTGGATGGCTGGGATGTCCTTGTCCCATCGCACTCTAGCATCTCCTTGTGGCGGGCCGGGCGCATGCACGCTGAATTCGGTCGCCAGTTGTACAGCGTTTCCTCTGACACATTGGTGCTTCCTGGTTTAGCGGGCAGTGTGTTGCTTGGCAGGGTCGTGTTTCATGTTCTGGGTATGCTTGTATTTTGTGTAGATCTTTGACAGAGAATGGCAATTAAATCCATTTTAATCTCACTTTGTAACACAACAAAATGTGGGAAGAGTCAAGGGGTGTGAATATTTTCTGAAGGCACTGTGGCGTTTTTCCTATTTTGTTGCATTACAACCTGTAATTTAAATTTATTTTTATTTGGATTTCATGTAATGGACATACACAAAATAGTCCAAATTGGTGAAGTTTCAAGAAATTCAAAAAAATAAATAACGGAAAAGTGGTGCGTGCATATGTATTCACCCCCTTTGCTATGAAGCCCCTAAATAAGATCTGGTGCAACCAATTACCTTCAGAAGTCACATAATTAGTTAAATAAAGTCCACCAGTGTGCAATCTAAGTGCCACATGATCTCAGTATATATACACCTGTTCTGAAAGGCCCCAGAGTCTGCAACACCACTAAGCAAGGGGCACCACCAAGCAAGCGGCACCATGAAGACCAAGAAGCTCTCCAAACAGGTCAGGGACAATGTTGTGGAGAAGTACAGATCAGGGTTGGGTTATAAAAAAATATCCGACACTTTGAACATCCCACGGAGCACCATTGAATCCATTATTTAAAAATTGAAAGAATATGGCACCACAACAAACCTGCCAAGAGAGAGCCGCCCACCAAAACTCACGGACCAGGCAAGGAGGGCATTAATCAGAGAGGCAACAAAGAGATAAAAGTTAACCCTGATGGAGCTGTAAAGCTCCACAGTGGAGATTGGAGTATCTGTCCACAGGACCACTTTAAGCTGTACACTCACAGAGCTGGGGTTTATGGAAGAGTGGCCAGAAAAAGCCATTGCTTAAAGAAAAAAATAAGCAAACACATTTGGTGTTCGCCAAAAGGCATGTGGGAGACTCCCCAAACATATGGAAGAAGGTACTCTGGTCAGATGATACTAAAATTGAGCTTTTTGGCCATCAAGGAAAATGTCTGGCGCAAACCCAACACCTCTCATCATCCTGAGAACACCATCCCCACAGTGAAGCATGGTGGTGGCAGCATCATGCTGTGGGGATGTTTTTCATCGGCAGGGACTGGGAAACTGGTCAGAATTGAAGGAATGATGGATGGCGCTAAATACAGGGAAATTCTTGAGGGAAACCTGTTTCAGTCTTTCAGAGATTTGAGACTGGGACGGAGGTTCACCTTCCAGCAGGACAATGACCCTAAGCACACTGCTAAAGCAACACTCAAGTGGTTTAAGGGGAAACATTTAAATGTCTTGGAATAGCCTAGTCAAAGCCCAGACCTCAATCCAATTGAGAATCTGTGGTATGACTTAAAGATAGCTGTACACCAGCGGAACCCATCCAACTTGAAGGAGCTGGAGCAGTTTTGCCTTGAAGAATGGGCAAAAATCCCAGTGGCTAGATGTTTGTTTCACAAGAAAAAATATTTTGCATCTTCAAAGTGGTAGGCATGTTGTGTAAATCAAATGATACAACCCCCCAAAAAATCCATATTAATTCCAGGTTGTAAGGCAACAAAATAGGAAATACTTTCGCAAGCCACTGTACAAATAATATTCAGAGAATGCAGCTGAAGCTGACTGTAGCTTTGAAGTTTCTACTGTAAGCATATACATAGTAGGCATGGTGCCTGGAACTGGTGTTTGACCTTGAGAACTAAAAGAACTGAAAGGACATTTGTAGAAAATATTTTTATTTTCCTTGGAATATGCCAGAATTTGGATGGCAACATGACTTATGGACAGAAAACATTCAGTGTGTGGTATTGCACAACAGAGAGGTGTGGTAATACACAGTGTATGAAAAGCTTTCCTAATCACTTATTCACAATAATGGGCTTTCCATATTCATACTGGACCAATTACAGTTTACACCAGCGACTGTTTGCACATTGTGTTATTGAAATCTAACAGGGAGACACAAGACACATCCTCCCACAAACACTGTCCAACCACACTGACCACACATATCACTTTTCTGATACAGCCATTCAGATGTATTACACTTTAAACTGGTTAAAACACTAATATAAACATTTCAACAAGCCATTGCAAATATGAAGGCCTCTGGCTCTCTGAATAGGATTGTATCATTGTCTTTGGCCACATTAAAATCTTTGCTCCCTTTTAATGCAGTTATAGACCAATTCATTATAATCGTTTTATATAGTTTAGTCTTATAAGGTTATATTTGGTATAACGCAAATCAACAAAACAGTTTTAAATTGAACACAAAAACACATTTATGTAATCCAACTACCTTTGATAAAGATGAAAATCTTAATTTGATAGAACTCTAAAAGTAAGCCACATTATAGGGTGTGCTGTTTTGAAGTCAACAATAGTCATTTCAGTTGAAATGAACAATAAATCAGATATACAGAATTCAACAGTTATTTAATTACCCTTACAAGTGTGAATTGGAAATAAATTTTTTGCATATCCCACCTCTCCCTGAGATACCCTCGGAGAGTGGGGTCACTGCCAGGGTCTGCCATTATCAACGGCAACCCTGGAGCAATTAGGGTTAAATGCCTTGCTCAAGGGTACATCAACAGATATTTCACTGTGTTGGCTCAGGGATTCAAACAAGCAACCTTTGGGTTACTGGCCCAACGCTCTAACTGCTAGGCTACCTATGTGAATGTTAGAGTAATACGAATGTAAGAGTAATGGTGAAGGTGCATAAAGATGGAGGAATTCAGTTATGACGAGTTTTTAAACTACGACACTGTATTATACAGTGCTTTCCATTACACAAAACAAGAGTAATGGAAAGCACTGTATAATACGGCGAACTAAAGCAAATTAGGCGTTTGTGGCAAGTACATTGGGGCCGCCATCTTTATGCATGTCCCGCTATTAAAGGCATACTTAGGGTTGCACAACTCAGGCTCTCAAGTTCTGCAGTTCTGCTGATTTCCATTTCTCCCTGCGGCTTCAAACTTATTATCTGGAGAGTGGAAATCAGTCTCTGGTTAAAAGGTAAGGACGAAAACCGTACACTGTAGCCCTTGAGGACCGGAGCTGTGGCCCCCTGATCTATGTAGTGCATAGGATTGTATTTGCAGACATGTTTTGGTACCAACTGCCAAGCTAAAGTGGCTCCTAACAGCTCCTGTGCACGGCCTGCGCTTCTACTGTGTCACCTCTGCTCTCCTCAGGGCAGTGGGATGTGCTGTGTGTCTGTCTCAGGTCTGCTAGGGATCTTAGTGCTGAGAAGAGAGTTGATGTAAGGCCAGATCCTGTCGGTCTCTGTGCCAGAGAACATGTGCAGGATGCCCTTTGACCTGGGGAGGAAAATAAGGTCACACTTTAGATGTATAGTTGCATAGATACCATGTAGCTTAAATACATTATATTGTAATAACATTATAATAATATTGTAACTACATTGTAATTACTATGTAACTGATCAGTTGTATGTACTTTATCTGCAATTTCCATGTAAGAACGTAAAGTATGGCCAAAAACCTTAAATGAGCAATGGTGAGAGAGTACAAAGGTGGGTACAGTATTTCTGATTGGACATTAATGATAAACTGACTACACAAGATTAGACTAGACTTTACAGGGCAAGCTACTTACACAGTACTTTTAAAAATATGTCAGTGACGTGAAGAGTGGACATACTTGTACAGGTCTATGACTGGCTTGGCCACGTCCTTGTAGTGCCTCAGTCTGGCCACTAGAGCCTCTGGTTGGTCATCATCATGCTGGATCAGAGGCTCTCCGCTGAGGTCATCCCTGCCCTGGAGGGACAACACAACACAGAGAGATTCTTACAGCAATGACGTATACTGATGAAAACTGTACACAGCTCACAGAGAGTTGTCTTGAACCCCTCACATTCATATCATTAAAAGATTGTACTGATCATAAACAAATACAAGAGAATCTGGTACCGTATTTTCACAGCCTTCTGTAGAAACCATTGCTTAGTGCTGGGCTCTGGGGGGAACAGACAGACTAACCAGAAGACTGTCACTGGTGATTAAAAGGAGAGAATCACTACAGTATTTCCGGACCTGTACACGTGGAGGGTTGAAGCCCATGTTGTAGACCCTGCCGCTGGCTGGGTGGATCCAGCGGTCACTCAGCCTGTCCTTCAGGGTCTCATAAGGGATGTTGAGGCTGATGACCAGGTCCAGGTCACAGGTACTGTTCAGAGCCTTGGCCTGGGCTAGGGTACAGGGAAACCCTGGAGGACAGAAGAGAGGGATGAGGGAGACTGAGGAGAGGGTGTGTGTTTGTATGTGTGTGTGTCTGACATGTTTCCCCATCAAGTCTTGTTTACAAGTATGTGTGTGTGTGTGTGTGTGTGTGTGTGTGTGTGTGTGTGTGTGTGTGTGTGTGTGTGTGTGTGTGTGTGTGTGTGTGTGTGTGTGTGTGTGTGTGTGTGTGTGTGTGTGTGCGTGCGCATGTGAATCTCACACTGCTCCTGCACAACAACTTTGAGGAAAATATTAATGTATTTTGTGTGACATCATAAAACGTCCAAACACAACATCCTTATGTCTCCCTTTACCCTACACTGATATGAAATTGGTAGACATATTGCAAATACTGCATTTATCCAACTCCTCCTCCCTGGGAACTGGTTCTGCTGACCTGGCTGTGAGGCTAGTTTAGGATGTAAAATTGCACTACTGTTTACAGACCTTGGCCTGCTGCCTGTCTGGCCTGTTTCAGCTGGTTTCTGGGTCAGACACAAACCTATTCAGTCAATGTTTGACATGATATCTTACACTGTCTGGACGATGGTCATATTTAACAGTAAACTCAATCAGGTGTGTGTATGTGTGTGTGAGTGTGTGTGTGTGTGTGTGTGTGAGTGTGTGTGAGTGTGTGTGTGTGTGTGTGTGTGTGAGTGTGTGTGTGTGTGTGTGTGTGTGTGTGTGTGTGTGTGTGTGTGTGTGAGTGTGTGTGTGTGTGTGTGTGAGTGTGTGTGTGTGTGTGTGAGTGTGTGTGTGTGTGTGTGTGAGTGGTCTTACCATCCATCAGCCAGCTGTGGCAGGTCATCTCCTCCAGCCTGGGCAGTAGGAGCCGTGTCATCACATGGTCCGGCACCATCAGACCCCTCTCTATGTAGGTCTTAGCTAGAACACCAGCCTCTGTGGAGGGAGGAGAGAGATGATGAAGAAGAAGAAGAAGAAGAAGAAGAAGAAGAAGAAGAAGAAGAAGAAGAAGAAGAAGATGATACCCGATAAGTAAAAAGCATGAATACGCTTTGAAACATTTCTAATAAGAGAGCTGGACTTTTGGCTAGAGGCAGGGGGGCAGAGCAAACCCAGCCAGGAATATCCTTTATGGTTTTAAAGTAATTGTCCAGTGTTTCCAGATTTCTATGAAATATGACCTATAATTACTTACAATATGAGTGAAATAGTTTTCCTTCCAAAGAATTGTAATTAATTATGTTAAAAAGCAGCTTTTCTGTTTTGGAATTATGTGGGCATACCCCAACAACAGAATGGTGTGGGCATATACCGATCATTAAAAATATTCAAGCGAGTAGACCGCTGATTGGCCAGGGGACTCCCTAAAAACACACCACTTCGATACATCTACAACTGGAAGTGACTTTTCGTAGCAGGTTAGGAGAGCATTTTCGCTAACCTAACCCTTTTCCTAACCATAACCTAATTCTCCTAACCTGCTACGTTAAGCTCATCCTCTTCAGGAGTATGACATCATACTTTATGAGGAAATAGCAAGCATTTTTTAAACGGTCTGTTTGAGATTTATGCTTTGGCCACAAATATGAGTATAGGACGACTCAACAACATTATTTGGGTATGTGTTAACAGAATATTATCTTTTAAAAGTGACATTTTCACTGGACAGTTACTTCAACACCTAAGCGATTACCCATTCACCCTGCTTTCTATCCCTGTTGTTTCCCCTGCTTTATTCACAGCAGTCAGTCACATAACTCGCATCTAAGACGGATCTCCGGACAAAACTACAGTCTCTAAACTACAGTCATCAATAATTGAATGACCTTCTGACCAATCTGGATCACGACAATGTTGTTACAGTGGCAACAATAGAAGTACATAAAGCCAAAGCATACCATTGTTAAATTAAACTGAAGATCTCTATGGTTCAATACAGAGTATGATGTGTTTATACAAGAGCTACTATAGGCCTATGTACTGTAAATAACTCCAGTATAGTAAGTCTGGAAACTGGGTTTAGTTTAGTAAGGCATGGCCTTAAAGCAGTACTGACAACTGTAATTACAAGCATACACATGGGCTAAAGAGCTGGGCACACGTTCTGATTAAAATAGGCTCCATTTAATGGGCTCAGAGAAGCCAACTCATAGAAGTTACAAACATCACCCATTAATATAATGAAGGAGGTATTCTGATGCAGCATTGTTATAACAGCAAGGTAATTAGGAGAAACGTTATAACAGCTTTATAACATGATGAACAAGATCTTGAACACACTATAAAAAAGTTTCTACCAGCCACAGCCTATAGCAGATACTATAATTAAACAAAGTAAACTCTTTATAACTGGGATTTTTTTAAACCATTTAATATGTGTATTTGAATGTGGACCATTTTAGTTACTTATCAGATAGTAGTAGGTTTGCCATCGCGTCTAACTTTCACTAATGTTTTTGTGGCTTGGACTATAGTGGTTTCCTGCCTGGAGAAATGCTCCACTGTTATTGGCTACAGTCCGGCATGGTGCCAACATGGAAGCCACTCTTCACCTCGCCTGAACTTGGGCCTCTGCTGGTGTTACAATATTGTTGGAATTTACAGAAGTGAAAGCTCCGACAACAGGCTTAGGCTGCTGGAGGTGAAGACAAATATGTGGCAAATTAAATGGCTATATATATACATTAATGAGAAAATAAATAAAGTAAACATAGATTGATAAAGGGTAAATTATAAATAGATACATTGATGGTGAGTAACCTATCAAGAATAGGCCAACCTGTGTTTGCAGCTATATTCTCCCGAAGAAAGTCGCCACTGGACAGATGCTTGAGGCCAAAGCTCTGCGCAATTCTTTCGGAAATGGTCCCCTTCCCAGAGCCTGGTGGACCCATGATCACAGCTCGGAACAGTTTGGCCATCATCCACTATATCCTGCGACACCACGGACTGTATCTGGAGGAGACGAAAGAAAAAAAAGTTATTCCAGCATTGCATACTTTTTGCATTCATTGAAACATTGATACGCATCTTTCAATGTTGCCCATGGTGTGCACTGTGCACCTTATCACCGAAGTCTGTGCAACAGAGACTTTCTGTTCCTTTGAGTTAACAGGAACATAGTTATTAAAGTGTATTATAATTTAGTATAGTTATAATAGTTTATTTATCATAGTCATTATGGTTTATTGTTTAACATATTATATTGCAGGATCTAACCAGTTTCTTTTTTCCATATTGGTTACTTACGATTAATAAAGGCTAAAGAAAAACGAAATTTGCTGTTTGCAAGGTTGTTAAAGAGCCTCATTCATCCAATCAGCGAGAGAAATCGAACTTCCTAGATTTATTTTCATACAGATGGCGGATTTAAACTATGTAGAAAAACAACAGGGCAACAGTCCAGCATAATGAGCGATACCTCGCCGATGCCCACAATCACTCCTCACCTCCGATTTCTGCGTGTGTCCTGCAAAAAGTATGCGTTATAAAGCACGTAGTTCACTCTGACCAAGTCAGAAAACGTTTTTTTTCCTGTTCTCAAGGGACAGTATGTTGCCTGCGTCTTTAAGAAAGGGGTTTTCTCTGCGAATGGATGGAGGAGCTGCCACAACGCCCTATTTCTCAGCACCGCCCCGACACATCATCCAGAAAAAATGCGGACGACTTGTGCGCAGGAACTCTTGGTAACGCTTAGGAATCTGGTACCTGTAGTTTTCTATTGTGAGGGAGCCATGAGGAATTCACTGTAGCAACCATATGTACATCTATGGCTGAGACATGAGGACTAGAATAGGATAGAATAGTATGGATTAGAATAATAGATCCTGGGTCGTCTGCACGACTGCAGATCACCATAGCCCACTGAGCTAAAGCCTACAGGCATCAGCTTATGCAGCTATCACAAGTCTATAGATCTAAGGTAAGGTCATCAATCATGCATAGGCCTAGTTTGTGTGACCCACCTCTACTAGGTCAATACACTATTACACACTATTATTAGGTTAAAGGACACTGCGTTGCCAGAAAGTTGACTTAATTGTATGAAAGTCCAACTTCGTGCAATGATGTTCTATTAGAATGCAATTAAAGCTATTCAGAACTATTTGGGAGTTATATTGATTGGCATGTCTCCAGAAGGGAGAGAGGGGGTGGGAGCTTGATAATGACTGCGTAATGAATGGTATAAATCCGAATTAATGTTCCCACTCATGCATAAGACACATATTGACAAAACACTGTGAATCCCAAATTGACACACTTGTTGACAGCAAGTCAATGCAGCTCGCGCGTAACGGTAATTTCGGGTGTCCCTCCGAAACATTGGCCATCACCCATTACTAGCCTGGTCCCAGATCTGTTTGTGCTTTCGCCTACTCCATTGTCATTGTCAAGCCAAACATGACAATTTCATAAGGAGTTGGCAAGAGAACAGAAACAGACTGGTACCCAGGCTACATACCATTACGCACAGAGACGCTGTCATTCCGCGCAACATTTGCAGACCAAGGAATGTATCCTACTTGTTGCGAACCAGACGGCGGCGTCAGTGTCCTAAAGCTGTCAAATGCTGCGCATGCACAGCCTATTGTTGTCTTCAGTCAATGGAACCTGCCTAATCCATCAGACGAAAATAAATTGGAAGATTATCAATTTACTCACTAGCTGTGCTTCGAATGTTTTTATTATTTTTTGTCACATGGCTGAGAGATTTCAATAACAACAAAAAATGGCGACAATCACGTTGTTCTATGTTGGTCTTGCTGCGTCATAAAAAAAATGAAAAACGGGAATGAAACGCGCAAAATGCAAGTAAGTAAGTCTAATATTTGTCAGATATTGAACTGCAAATAAATATAAAAAGATAATTGCTAATGTTAATTTGGACTACATAGTACTTGTTTTTACCTTGGAAGGGGTGTGTGTAGGCTGGGCGTTAGCGTTTGCTGCACATTAATACGACTCAATAGAAAAGATAGCGTTGCTCTTTGACATGGTTTTGTTATTGAATATCAAAGTTATTATGGCAATTTATATATTTTCAAATTTGGAAAATGATAGACGGCCTATTTACAAAGGGTTTTAAATAACCTTACTCTTGTTCTATTTAGGCTATAGAAACAGCAACAAGCAATTGAAATGTGTTGATTGCGTTCGATTTTCTTATAATAGTGATCAAGTGTTTGAAAGAAAGTACGTTTATTTAATATATAGATGGTGGGCTCTTCACGATTATTGAAGGGTCTGGTATGGCTATTATAAGAAGTACAGTCTATGGGAAGTTTTGTAGCTAGGCGTTTACATTTTTACAATTGAATTACGCAACCAGTGTTATGTGTTTTGCTCGATTCAACTGTTGTCTCAACATTGCGCAGCTGGTTATTTTTCAAATAATTGTTGGCAAGTGCTCGTGCAATCCTGTGATATCAAACAGAACCAGCTATTCGAGTTGTTTACATGAAGCGGAGGGCGGACAGAGCTAGGGAGGAGTCTGCGAGCGGGCTACGCGACCGGACTGCTCGAGAGGATTCGCGCGCTGAGGGCGGAGCCCCAACAATCATAACAAGTCTTACGTCAGCTCTGTGGTATAAATTATGCAGTTCAAACACTACTGGGTAAACAGTGGTGGCGTCGACCAATTAACATGGTGTTATTCCTGTAAAAGATGATACCCTACAGTTGTTATACATGTATGCTATTGGGATTACATTCATTTGAGGTGAGAAAGGCATCGTACTCATGGTAGTAAAATACCTTTCTAGAATTCTGTAATGCCTGTATGGAATTCATATAACATGCATAATTCATGATTATCTCTTTTGAATAATTATAAAGGTTTGCAGGTTTTGTTAAATGCAGTTCCCTGTGTAACCTATAGTATAGAGAAGCCTGTTTACATTACTTCTGCATTCAAATGTGTTCTCATTCGTGTAATACGAGACTATGGAAAACATGAGTGCAAACATGATATATGGTCTATGCATATTTTCATAATCTCATTTTTTACTCCAACGCATGTTCTGCACTATACAAAGGCACCCCCACCTGCCGATCCTATACAGCGTCTTCTCATTCTCCTGGCCACCTTATTTATAGCATGATTTAGCATGGTTCCATCTGCAATAAAACAGTGTGACTGACTGGGGTATTATTGTTGCTCTGGGCTCCCAGTCCTGTGTGTGTGTGACCCTGGCCTGGCATCATGAAGACGGATGGCATCCTGATACCTTGGCAGGGCGTTGGGTTGCGCTGCCTCCACTGCTGATGCTGTACCGTCACTGTGCTGGAACTCTGACTGACTGGGCCCCTGTCTCTTGGCTAATGTCTCCTGTCTGCTAAATGTGACATCCAGGCTGCCCTGGTTCAGTTATCACTGTGCTGATGCTGTCCATTTTAAAGGTACAGTACTGTGATAACTGAAGGATGGCTGCCATCTTGACACACCTGACCCACTGACTATGTGATGATGGATGGACGGATGGAGGGAGGGAACAGGTGCTGCAGTGGAGGAGAGATGTGATATGGGTGAAGGAAAAAGGGAGGAACTGTTGTGTCTTTGAAATAATTACATACGGGATATTATAATGTTGTGTCTCTGACTTAAATTTTTCAAAACCACATACAAATATTTTGAAAATTTGAAAATACATTAACCAATGATTGTAGCCTATCATATTTCCATTTTATTTGACAACATTTTATATTTCCTGTAGAAAGAATGATGTATTACACCATAAGTTGAAAGTGAACAAATTCTTCTTTTGTAGCATTTGAGTCATTAATGTTTTTAATAAAATGCAAATAAATCGGAAAGAAACTGAAAATAATATGTAGTCATGTTATTTCTAATACTCAAGGTGTAGGGCCGCCACAAGTAATTTTGGCAAATTTCCAGAAATAAAATGCAACTATTAAAGACATTATAGCCTGTAATGTTTTGTGGGAAATTATTGATAATTAAAGATATAAAATATCTAAAATAAAAACATCACATTTTCAAATTGATTAATAACTTCTGATTAGATTTCTATATAATAAATAATACATATTTGTAAAAGTTAATAATACATTTTTGGTATGATTGTAGAATAGAAATAACAACATATGAGTAAAGGTATTTCCATAAGACTCCTGTTTGACACATGTCCTTAGAATGTTAGCAATACAGGAAGTCAATGCGGAAATCCCCTCAAACAGACAAACAAAAGGTCACGATCACATCTTTCTCTCTCCCTCCCTCTGCCTTCACCCTCTCTCTGCCCCCTCCCTCCTTCTCCCCTCTCTCTACCCCCTCCCTTTCTCTGTCTCTGCCCCCTCCCTCCTCTCTATCCTGCTCTCTCTCCTTTCTCTGCCCATACATGTTTTTCACTCAATCACAACAACAGATATCAATCCACACGGTTCGGTTTAACTGGACAGATCAAAGTCTTAAATGGTATTGAGAAAAAAAAAAAAAGGTTCTTGAATCACCCTAATCACACAATTTGACTTTGGAGATATGTCAATCAGTGGGAACATACATTCTGGTACATAATAAAACCACTGACAGAGACATTTGGTAAACAAAGAACTGTAGATAAAAGTCGACTTCTGTTTCACATCCCTATTTTGAAAATAAATATGTTTTCTTTTCTCCTATAGCTGTGAGAAAGTAGTGGTTAGCTGACAGTGACCTGTGGTTTTTGCTTTTTGTTCACTACACTGTAATGGTATTCCCTTGCCTTTCAGTTTACTGGAGACCCCGAGGATATCTGTGAGCCTGGAAGTTCCTGCTGACGCTGTAACAAATCATCAATCACACTTATAGCACCACAATCTTATAATGAGTAGTTTATGAGCACTTCTGTGATTTACACTTTTGGGACTATGTTACATATGAATGGTTCTATCAATCATATAGGATGTCAAAAAAAAAAAAAAAAGT